CAGCGATGCAAGCAGTGGCTATTGGCCCCAATCACTCCTGAGGGCTTTTCCACCTCCCCCTGCTCCCGAGGGGCGATCGGGGCAGCAGCCACCAGCCCCAATCGCTCCATGCCATCAGCGGGTGCGAGCGGGGCTGGTGCTGTCAGCAAATGGGAGCGGCAGTGGCAGGAGCAGGGCTGCTGGCAGACAGGATGGGGGGAGGGGGGTGCGGCAGGAGGGGCAGGACAGGGGTGTGGAGGATGGGCCGAGATCTGCCCCTGTGCTCACCACAGCCATGTGGCCCACAATTCCTTTCAAGATGCATGAATTCGTACACTGGGCCCCTAGTCCTATAGCCTAATATGCAAATTGACCAAATGGCAGAATGACCAGTTGTTATGATGCCCACTGACCTCCAGGGGGCAGACACTCAATGCAAGAGCTGCCCCTATCCTGCAGGCCAGAGGCCAGTCAAGTGGGTGCCAGCGGGGGTCCCCCAGTCGCCCCACTGGTCTCCCCACAGATTGGCCCTGATTGCCAGCCAGGACTAGGGATCCTATCTGTGCATGAATTTCATGCACTGAGCCTCTAGTTTTATTATAATAGATCAAACTAGTCTTCAGATTTTCTATGAAGAAAGCAAAAATTGAGCATGCGCTTTGATAAACAGCAGGGAGCAGGGAGAGAGAGGGGGAGAGGAGGAAGGCTGGAGGAAAGGAGAGGGAATAATATAAGAATTTTGTATACATTCCTCTGAAGGGAAGCTCAATTATGACAAGGTGACTTATGTAAAAAAAAAAAAAAGTGTACAGCTCATAGGCAACGCACTGAGAGTTCACTGTACAACCACACCCTTACCTTGCTACCTTTCCATCCTTACCTGTTCTCCATAAGCTTTTCTTCCTCTCACAGGCCTCTCTTCTTTCTGGTTGCCAATCTGTCCTTCTTCCCAGGGTCCCTTTTCCTTTTGAGTAAGAAAGCATTACTCAGCAACCCTCCCCCCCTTCCTTATCCCCAGACTTGTCTAGGAGGACATGTCTTCAGTGCTGAGGTGTGTGTGCATGGGGCTAGGCTTACCTCTTTCACAGCCACTTCCCTGAAGCCCTTTCTTAACTGCTATCAGGAAAGGTCTCCAACATTCTCATTCTGTCCTTCCAGATAGCAATGTCACCTAAACAACCTTCTTTTCTACGGAAGTCTTATGAATCCTGTTTAAGCTGCTAAGTAACTCAAATATAAGGTTATTTACATCTTACGGGAAATTTTCAAAGCTGGACACAATTTATCTTTCCAGTTTTATACGGGAATCAAACTTACCTGGCTCTCTGCAAAACACAAATATTTTAAATTAATACATTTTTTGTGCTTGGTTATAATACCTATTAAGCTGTTAACATACAACAATAAGGTAAAATCAGATGACTATCTCAGCAATCTACAACATGTAGCATTAGTTATGTTATAAACGCTGCCCAGAATTTCAGGAAGAATTTTTTTCCTAGGTGTATTTTTCCTAGGCCATGTCTCATAGCGTGAGGCTATCATATCTCTCTTTTTTACAATTAAGAAATACGTCAATGAATTTTAAAAAGCAAATGTACTAATGATGTAAAACCCAACATTATCTCTCTCAACAAGACATGGCCTTTACCACTTTACTGAGCAATAAAACATGACTCAGTGTGTTCATTCCTTTCTTTGTTTATTCACTGCTATATCCCTAACACCCCAAACACTGCCTATCGGTTAAATGAATGAATAAACTAATATTTGCTATGTGCCTCTTATGTGCCACAGACTGTGCTACCCTCAGGAATGCTGCAATAGGGCCTTGCTTCCATGAAAATTGCAGTAGAGGAGAGACATTAGACAAGGTTATGTAATGATTTCATTGCTATTATGATAAAAGTTGTAAAGGAAAATAAACAATGAAAATGAAAATAGAACTTTCACTGCCTAAGATGTAAAAAAAGACTTTCTGAGGAACAGACATCTAAGCGAGCATCTAAAAACAGGCCAGAGTTTAGGACCGGGAAGAATAAAGAGGAAAACAGTTTCACACAGACAATATGTGTGAGATCCTGAGGAAGCTAGGTGTGTAATATCTCCCAGCACCTGAAGACACATCCTGGCTGACTTGCCTCAGTGTTGGAGCATCAGCCTGTGGAATGAAGGGTCGCGGGTTCGATTCTGGCCAACCAATGGATGTGTCTCTCTCACCTCGATGTTTCTGTCTCTCCCCCTCACATCCAGTCTCTCTAAAGACCAATAGAAAAAATATCTTCAGATGAGGATGAACAATAACAACAACAAAGAACTGAAGAAAGACCGGAGGGGACAGTTCAAGATGAGGCTGGACTGAAAAGCTGAGCTCAGGCCATGCCGGGGCCTTGTAGACTGCATTGCATTATGGATTTTGGATTTCACACCAGATTGCAGCCAGAACAAAGGAATGATCGTCATACTTACATTTTATATATATACTAGAGGCCTGGTGGACAGATTCGTGCACTGGTGGAGTCCCTTGGCCTGGCCTGGGATAAGGCCAAAACCAGCTCCGGATTGGAGAGGGGACAGGCCAGGCCGAGGAACCCCACCGGTGCACGATCAGAGCCAGGGAGGGACCGTGGAAGGGTTCCAGGGAGTGTCTGGCCCTTCTCACCCAGTCCTGATTGGTCAGACCCCAGCAGCAAGCTAACCTACTGGTCGGAGCATCTGCCCCCTGGTGGTCAGTGTGCATCATAACTACCAGTGGAACGGTCACTTAGGCTTTTATGTATGTAGATATATATATTTTTTTACTTCAGAAAGGAAGGGAGAGGGAGAGGTAGAAACATCAATGATAGGAGAGAATCACTGATTGGCTGCCTCCTGCACACCCGCCACTGGGGATCAAGCCCGCAACCCAGACATGTGCCCTGACCAGGAGAGCTATGACCTCCTGGTTCCTAAGTCGATGCTCAAACAATAAGCCACGCCAGCTGGGCCATACTTGCATTTTAAAACCATCACTCTGGCTGCTGATGGAGATGAATTAGACAGAGCATTTTAAAACCATCACTCTGGCTGCTGATGGAGATGGATTAGACGGAAATAAGAGGGAAGCAGGAAGACCAGTGATGGGGAGAGCATAGCACTGTAGGTGGGAGATGATGTCTCTGACTAGGGAATTTACTGGGGCTTCTACTTAGGATGTACATTTCTGAATAGGGTAACTGAGTGAGTTATGGGAGATGAGAGAAAGAAGAGTTCCAAAGTGGCTCTGACCAACCAGGTGGGGGGTAGTTGCCTTTACCTAGATGGGGAACAGTGAGGCCAGGTTTGTGGGGGGAATGGGAAATCAAAAGTTTGGTGTGAGACATGTGCAAGAAATGATGTCCACATTACCCGAATGGAGCGCATCAGCAGGATTTGGGAAAGATATACATTTACAGCCTTTAGCCGGTTAATAGCACTTGAAGCTATGGGGACAGATGAGATTGCCCAGAGATAATGAAGAGTGAGAAGAGAAGAAACATATGTCTTTGAAATATCCAGAACCGCCATAATATGAAAAGTTGAAATTGACTGCAAATTTCTGAAATCCTTCATAAGTAAACAATTATTTGATTAAGTCATGGAAATTTTTGCTGGGAAAGACACTATCAACACATTAGTATCAGAGAAATTCACATACCTGAATTCAAACAAAAGTTCAGTTTAGGTTATTTTCAGACCACAATTACATATGTTTAAAATCCCACTGATCCCTTCTTCAGGGTCTGATAAGAGCTGGAATTAATACACTTCAGTGGTAATTTCTCTGGGCATTAGGCTAAAAACATCACGCAAAAACAAATGAAAGCCAGAAGTGACGTGATGTTTTGACATGGGCTACGGGTATTTAGTTGTATTAATCTGCAAGCTTACACGTAAACACACTGTTAGGAAATAGCGCTGTGCAAACTGTCAGCTAGCAACGTGAACCTTCCCATGGCTGCCTCTGGCCACATCATTTTGGTTCCCTTCTCCTGCTTATAAGTGAGCAAAGGTCAAGAAATGCCTAATTAATACAAAGAGAAGTGATTTTTGCACAGTATCTCACTTTTTATTGCCAGCTTCTAATGTTTTTCTCATAACATGAGTAGCTATTAACAGAACAATGTTTCTTTTTATAGTTCCACATAAAGCTTCAAAGACACAACCAGAATGCCTCTATTCAGTACCTTTTCACCTGAAAAAGGCTTAAGTATACACTAATTAAAATATCTGGGAACTTAGTTATGTCAATATTTCTCTAACTGAAAGGATTCTTAAATGAAAACGTTTTCTATTGTTTTATTTATCTCAGATTCTAAGACATACAAGAAATTATAGCTTTCCCTCAAATTATACAATATACATATATTGTAAAAATACTGAAAATTAAATAATTAAAATTTGAGTTAAATACGTAACTACATGTGATAAACTTAGGAATTGAAAGCAATAACAGAACACAAAAAAACTGCTCAAATAAAATCCTAAATTTCTTAAAACAACAAAATCTGTTATTTATTAGCTAGAAAACAATAACTCCCTTCTTTGATGGCTATTGAAATAGTTGCATTTGCAGAGGACTTGTAGGGTAGTGAAGCTACTCTGGATGATACTACAGCGGTGTGTACATGTCATTATGCAAGTCTAAACTCACAGAATATACAAGAGTGAATGAACCCTAATGTAAACTATGGACGTAGGGTGATAATGATGTGTCAATACAGGTTCATTGATTTTAACAAGCGTACCATCTGGTGCGAGATGCTGTGCATATGTGGGAGCAGGAGTCACAAGGGAAATCTCTGTACTTTCCTCTCAACTCTGGTGTGAACCTAAAACTGCTCTAAAAAATAAAGTCTATTAAAAAAAATATTTTTTTAGCCCTGACCGGTGTGGCTCAGTTGTTTGGAGCATCATCCTGTGACCAAAGGGTTGTGGGTTCTATTCCTGGTCAGGGCACATACCCGGGTTGCGGGTTCAATCCAGGTCAGGGCACGTACAGGAAGCAACCAATCAGTATTTTTTTCTTCTCTCTCCCTCTCCCTTCACCTCTCTGCAAAATCAATTTTTTTAAAAAATGTTCCTCAGGTGAGGATTTAAAAAAATTATTTAAAAAATTTTCAAATAGTTGCCATTTGTCTCAAAGATTCAAGACTACCACACAAGGTGATTTATCTTAAAAGTCCATGTGAGCCCTAACCGGTTTGGCTCAGTGGATAGAGTGTCATCCTGTGGACTGAAGGGTCCCAGGTTCGATTCCGGTCAAGGGCATGTACCTTGGCTGCGGGCACATCCCCAGTAGGGAGTGTGAAGGAGGCAGTTGAATTGATGTTCCTCTCTCATTGATGTTTCTAACTCTCTATCCCTCTCCATCTCCCTTCCTCTCTGTAAAAAAATCAATAAAATATATTTTTTTAAAAAGTGCATGTGAGTATTAATCAATACTATGCCATTTTTCACAAATCTAAAACACAAATATTTTAACATGCACAGAGAGACCTGACAACACCACTGTTGTTGTGCAAACTCTAAGCAGGAAGAGCTAGGACAGGTGAAGTATGTACATCTTACAGTTTGAGGCGAGGTAATACCTAGGATAAGGGGAGTAAGTGCTTCTTTGGGAAAATCTTAATAAAATACACAGAACATAAGAACTGGAATAACGAGGGAGGGCATGCTTAAGCTATAGCAAAGTATACTTCTGGCCTAAAATATCACCATCTATCTCTTGGCACGTGTGAGACAAAGTAAGATAGAAAGAAAAATGAAAGACCATGAACACAGAGCACTTGGTCTACTCATTAGCAAAAATAAAATAAAATTTTCCAAGATCAAGGTCAGCCTTATTTATTTATCCAAAGAGCTGTTCTTTTGGGCCCGTGTGCATGGCCAATTAAACTGAAATTATCCACATACTGAGTTCTAATGAGTACCTGAGAAACACTGCAATAGACAATATTTGCTACATGGTGTTATCAGGTATGGTAATTTCAAAAATGGGAAAATACTCGAACATTGTGAATTATAGAACAAATAATTTATATTTAAAAGAGCTAAAAACAAGGATGTGATTATCATAAAATACTGAATTTGCTATTTAAGTTCATTTAATTCTGCTGATTAGGACAGGCCATATGCATGATAATCTTATTTCAACTCCTAATAAAACAAGGAGTAAAATATCTGAGAGAGAGAAAAAGACAGCAAAATGTGTGTATACTGGGTTTCCAATTAATCTTTAACCTCTGGTGTTTTCATTATTCTTACCAAAATGTAGTTGTCTATATCTGACGTTTCTTGGAGACAAACTGGCAATGTGATACCTTATGGATAAGGAGTGATAAACAAAGGGCACAAACTTTCCCCAGGAGCTGAAGCAGATCAATTCATTTTTGCTTTCTGGGAGAAAATATGTAGCTAAAAGTAAACAATAAAGTCAAGATATAACCAGTAATGATTAGCACTGAAACAGTCAGTAGTAAAGTCTTCTAAATGCCTAATAGTCCTATCAAGGATGACATGTAGATTTTGAATATCTAGGTAAAGCTTAAAAAAGACCCTATAAACATAATGTGGCTGTAACTATCCATGGTTGATATCCTCACTGGTTTTGTAATTTATTTAGTTGCCCATTTAATACAACCCTTTTATTTTATTGTCTATTTCGGCACAGTTCTTAAACATTTCCTTTACTTTGGATACCTGATGTAATTCATACCATGTTTTATCAAGTTTAATTTTCTAACAGATCCATTAAATACTATAATTATGACCTCCATGAAAGACTTGAGAAATATACTGATTTGCCTCTTCTCATTGGTAGCAAACTGAAATCTTAAGTCTTCTAAAAGAATGTCCAATTCTTCACCAAGTAACGCGTGAAGTCTTCAGGATGGGTTTAATCTGTGCCACTGGATAACAACCTTTTCTGGATTTGTAATTGTCTCTTTCCACTGGTTTGCTGCTTCAACGTTATTACTGTCTTCACTTATCCAAATCTGTAAAGGAACAATACAACCGTTTGCTTAACACAGTAACGATGAGTTCAGTTAATTCCCCTTATTGATGAAAGACAATTGGAAATTTAGTTTACATATTTTCAATTAAACATCTTTCCACTTTTCCGAAAGTTTTATTTCTCTCTTTGAAACTTAAATGTGAAAACATTTAACCTATTTAGTCACTCTGAGGACTATTTTGTATGATCCAATGCAATTTAAAAGTTCAATGTGAGATATTACATAATCATTTTCCCCAAAATAATGAGTGTCCTTTCTTATTCAATAAATCTAGGAGCTCAACTTAAAACTGATCCCAATCACTCACAAATTTTTTTTGTAAAGGTTAACTCTGACTATTCTGGATTTCAATTAGATGGATAAGGAATGTGCATTTTCAAGCACTGTGTATGTTATAGAAAACTGTAATTTTAATTGAAATCTAATCATTGAAATCTAGTCATTCTTGATCCACCGTAAACAATTTCATAATAATCCACAGTAAACAGTACTCTTCACTTAGGTAACCTCGGAAAATAGATGCGATGAATTTGGGAAAACTGGAAAGCGTTATGCAAAGTCAGGATAGCACCATGGTTACCTATCATGGAGGTAAGGTGGGCAAGGTTAGAAAAACCTGAATTCTCACCACAGCTCTGCCACTAACAAATGCTGCTGCTTTGGAATTAATCTCTCTGCAACTCAGTTTCTAATTCTTTTAAATAAAGAAATTAGGGCAGGTCACCCACTGGTTTCTCAATGTTTCCCTTTAATTTCATGATCTGAAGAACTTTCCTTCACATAAAACCTTACAAACAGCCCTGACATAAAGACAGGTAATGTAAGGGTGCTGTGGTTGGTACGGGAGCGGGTGATCTTGACTCCACATTTGGCTACTCCACCATGGTGGCTCCCAAAACTACCGGAGAAGCCACAGGTAACAGAGGGCTAGCAAGAACCTTTCCAGAATTATTCTTCTTAACTAGAATCTCAACCGAGAAAGTAGAATTACCAAAAAAGTTTTCTGAAAATCATCTGTCAAGTCAGTCTCCTATTCCCTTCGTACAGGGTAGTTGAGGCTTGATGATAGAGGAAAACTTTAACTGAATTCACTTCATGGGTCTTATGGCTTTGAGAAGTATGCTAGTTGTATGAATTCTTGAGTTTAAGCTTTTTGAATAAGAAAAAGTGAAGAACAAAACTGTAATTTTTAAACAAATATTGTAGGTAAAATATATGAAATCAAAGAGTTAATATCAATCTTTGAAAATTTACATATAATTTTAGGATTTCATGTAGACTGCTAGTCACATCTTGTCAAATGGAAGCTTTTAAACCAATAATATAGATTTTGGAATTTAAATGTGAGTCACATGATTGTAATTAAGGTAAAACACAATAGACAACTCCCACTGATCCACTCAGAGTAAAGAACAAAAGGATAAAAGAAGACAAGTTCCTATAGGATTGGCAAGCGGGCAAGTGCTATGTTGTTTTAGACAAGTTACTGAGAATTTTTACATAGATTAACCCAGACACCCATATTGACTATCTAAATAATATCACAACCACTTTAAAATTGATGTTTTCTACAAGTTCAAATCTAACATAATTCAGTTAATAGCAAACATGAAGTTGAACATGAAACAGAATAAAGTTGGATATGTGAAGCCTTAAGAAATTTAATTACTGTGTTCTCTCTTCATAAGGAATGAGCACTACTGAAAAACTCATTATTCTCATACTTTCTAAAGTTGAAAAGCTCAGAAAAACACTTATTCCCCCCTTGAGAAATGTAAAGTTCATTTAGAAAAAAAAAGTCTTATATTAAGATAAGTCTGATTGCTCAGAAATTCCAACTACCTGTATTAAAACAAAAATTCTGATAAAATTTAATTTTTGTGGCAACACTGAATTTTAATTTATGATGCCAAAGAACTGTCCTCTATTAAACTTCAATTTTATCCTATATTCCTTTTGTTAACCAACTGTTTAAATGCATAGAAAAGTGCAAGGCAAGAATTCAAGATAAACACTCCTACTAACCTGTCCCACGAAGTGTCTTCTTCTTACAGAGCTTCGACTATAAAGCTTAACGAGAAAAAAAATTTCCCTTTCATTCTGTATAAGTGGGAAAATCATAGTCTCTCCCCACTTTACTCTCCCGTTGGAGGCCTTCAGCAGGCGTGTCTTCTTCTTATAAATCAGCTCTCCTGAGCTGAACATTGCCACCTTCACAAAAAAACCTGAAACATAAGAAATTTTGATACATAAAATTGTATTTAAAACACCATAGAAAGATATGTACCTATACTTTCGTTGTAAAAAATATAAAGAAGCCACTTTTCAAGGTCTGATGAGCTACTGCCATAACAGAAAACATCTTCTAGTAGAATCTGCCAGTAAAATCATCTTGGTTCTTTAACTACCTTTACATACTAGTAGTTATTGTTTTATTCAGATTTTCACTCTTCTTTGGGGGTCTTGAACAATTTTCCTTAGAAAATCATTTAATTTACAGAGATGTTCAAATGAATCGGTAATTATACATGGTACTGTCTTATTATTATTGAATCTGTTCTGAATTTGAAGTTATATTCTCCTCCTTGTTTACGTTCTCTGTTTGTTGCTTGATCCAACCTACCATAGGTTTGCCAATTTTAATGACCTTTTCGAAGAAAAAGCTTTCAGTTTTATTACTTATGTCTTTTGTTGTTGCCTCAATATTTATCAACTTCAACTTTGGCTCTAATTCCTTACTTCTTTCCTTTGTGTTTGCTGTTTTTCTAGCTTCGTGAGTTGAGTGCTTGGCTGTATTTTTTTTTTAATATATTTTATTGATTTTTTACAGAGAGAGAGAGAGGGACAGAGAGCCAGAAACATCCATCAGCCGCCTCCCGCACGCCCCCTACTGGGGATGTGCCCGAAACCAAGGTACATGCCCTTGACCGGAATCGAACCCGGGACCCCTCAGTCCACAGGCCGACGCTCTATCCACTGAGCCAAACCGGTTAGGGTGCTTGGCTGTATTTTTTAGTCTCATTAGTTACAGTGGACATCCATTACTTCTGTCTGCTTCGGATATTTCCTCTTCTTCTAGTAGGAACAAGGAGTGCTCTTTCCCCACTCTTAGCCCTTTAGGTGGGACTAGACCTCCAGCTCTAGGGGCAGCCGTGTGAACCAGGCCTATGCACCCAAAGTATCAGAATCCCTGGCTGTGCTCAAAGGGCAGGGAGGAAAATGTGTTTCATTGGTTGTGTTTGACATTTTTGTTTTTTAAAAATTAAGTTTCTCATTAGCCGAGTACCGACAAAGGTTGCATAGGACAAATCATCTGGGCTGGTGAAACATCTGGCAGTCCTCTGGACACTCAAGCTACAGTAACTAATGAGCCAACTAAGGAATAGCCTCAAATGCAGAGATCACAACTGGATAAGAATCAAGAGACCAGTGGGTTCAGGTAGACACAAGGGTTAAAATTTGAAATCCAATAAAGTGATTCTAAGTTAAAAGATAAGTATTCACATTAAGTAATAAAAGTTACTAGAACTTTAATCTCCACTGTAGGAAATGTAGGGAAAAACCGATCTTTTACTAATAATTGTCTTTCGGTTCTGCTTTGAACCACTATATACTTACTCAAAGTCAGAGGTGTTGATGAGCTTGGAAGGCACTGTGCCTCAAGAATTTGTAACTGGATCCTGCTGTTCACTGCTTGAAAACAAGTCCCCAACTCAAGTTCTGCATGGCACACCTGCATATCACGAAAGTGTCATTTGGTAATTAAGAATAAAGTTTTGGGATATTTCAAAAATTCAAAATTAAAGAGCTAAGATGAGTAATCTTGAAATCACTGCTTTTTATATGTCATAAGAGAAGGTTTAGAAGTAAGCGCCATGGGTTCTGCACATATGAGCTATTCACTTTCATGGATTCTGCCACTGCAAGTTACAGCTAGATCCCGATTCTTCCAAGCCAGGGAGACCAAAAGGCACTTCACAGTAAAAGCAACTTAAATCCCTAAGCAGTTTTACTAGAGACATGATTTGCAAGTGTAATGTATGAGAATCATCGTCCTTTTTTTCTCCATGTAGAAATCAGAGTAGGTGCGAGCAGAGTCGGGAGACAACGGATTGCTACACTGAAAAGATTTGTGGGTTGGGAGCTGAATTACTCTGCTGTATGGAAGCGGGCCAGAGAAGAGCGCTGGCAGGAAGGGAGCCAGTGAAAGTTATGAGGCAGTAAATAATAAGGAAAAGGTCAAAGAAAACCTGAGGCAAACAATAAAAGGGAGACGGGGAGAGGGGGAAAGAAAAAATGTGCTCTTCAGTATTGCTGACTAACAGCCGAATAAAGCTGGTAACTTGTTTGTGAAACAGAACACGGCCCCGCCCACTTCTCTGGCTTCCAACACCCTTGGAGCGAAAAGAGAGAAACATAAGGTTGTCCAAACACAGAAACATTACTCCTCAGGCACATGCTGAAAAACGTAAGTACGGAAATGAAGCGAGAACATCACGTTGAGATCTCACAGGGCTCAGCACAGACAGACACAGCAGTCTTCGCTGATACTAACTCCGACAAAGCTACCGCACAGCTTGATGACGAGATTTCTATTTGGTCATCGCCCAGCAGTCCCAATAATTGGCTCCTGGCTCACTAAAAAGGACCTTTCTATGGACATTCCATGGGCTGAATCTTGGGCATTTTCTTGAAACACGATTCTGTGTTTTAAAAATTGGTCATGCCACGCCCTGGCCAGTGGTGCTCAGCCCTCGCACCAAAGGGCCACGAGGTTGACTCCCAGGCAAGGGCATCTACCTGGGTTGCAGGTTCTATCACTGGCTCTGGTTGGGAGGCCTCGAGAGGCAACCAGTCGCTGTGTGTCTCTCTCATATTGATGTTCCTCTTTCTCCTCCCAGCCCCCATTTCTCCCTAGACATCAACGGAAAAAACATCCTCGGGTGAGGATTAAGAAAAATAAATAAAAAGAAACTGGTCATGCCGTAAGAAATCAAGAGATAAACAGTGAACTGCGAATCACTTAAAACAGCCGTGGGCAAACTACGGCCCGTGGGCCGGATCCGGCCCGTTTGAAATGAATAAAACTAAAAAACAAAAAAAAGACCGTACCCTTTTATGTAATGATGTTTACTTTGAATTTATATTAGTTCACACAAACACTCCATCCATGCTTTTGTTCCGGCCCTCCGGTCCAGTTTAAGAACCCATTGTGGCCCTCGAGTCAAAAAGTTTGCCCACCCCTGACTTAAAAGCATAAACTCAACTGTTGAGAGGTTAAACTCCCCTGTGAAATGACTGAAGTGATGAAAAAACTTGTCTATTTTGGCAAAAAGAAACACTGATTTTCATAAATAAGTGAATGTACTGCTTTTTCTTTCAATCAGAATAAAATCGGGTTAATAAACCTTTTCACATGAACTAAATCTGTAGCCACACATAAAATAAAACCTTTGCTGACATGACCTCTGATATATCATTTGGTAGAAACTGAACCACAGTCGTTCATCCAGATTCTCCAAGGCAGGTAAGAGTCTAATGTCTCAATGCCCCAGAAAATACCTTTGCTGAGTCTGGTGTGCTCTACTAGTCTCACTAACTTAGGTTTTAATATATGAATTGTCCAGTTGAGTATCTGTGCCTTCTCTAACCTAGGGTTGCAGATTACCGTCTACTGAGCTAGTTTCAAAGATGCAAGTGATGAACTCCTGTCACAGCTATAAGACAAATGTACTTAAACATATTTGAACACGATAATCTAATTGTGCACTCTTCCATTCTTCATTTATTCTTTCATATCTATCTACATACAAATATTCAATGCAAAGAACATGACAGGCTGTTGCTCAGAGCACTGCAAATTATAAAGAAAACAGATGAAAACTCAAGCCTTGTTTTGTTTAAAACAAGTAACTTAAATAATTCTTAGTTGTAAGAAATGCTATAAAAAACACATTGGGGGTGGAACAGAAAATAACAGACACGGGATAAAGAAATACAGATGCCTCTGGCCCCACCCCCCAAATATTCTGATTTAGTTGGTTTAGATGTGGGCATGTTTTTAAACCTCACTAGGTGATTCTAATGCGTACCCAGGTTCAGAACCACTTTAAGCCAACATAAATATTTTTGAAAAGTAGGTGAAATATAAAACTTACATAAATTTAAAATTATATAAGGTTTGACCTTATCAAAGTTTATGGCTGATTTCTATAAATGTTATGCTGACATAGAAACTATATAATTAAATTATTAGGGATTTCTAAACACTCTAAGTCAGTGGTTCTCAACCTTCCTAATGCCGCGACCCTTTAATACAGTTCCTCATGATGTGGTGACCCCCAATTTCATTGTTACAAATGAAACATAATTAAAGCATAGTGATTAATCACAAAAACAATATGTAATTATATATGCGTTTTCCGATGGTCTTAGGCGACCCCTGTGAAAGGGTCGTTCGACCCCCAAAGGGGCCGCAACCCACAGGTTGAGAACCGCTGCTCTAAGTGTTCAGCTGGCTAGTTAAGCGAATGTCAAGTTTCAAAGATAATCAAGTTCTTTACAAAAAATACCAGCTGTAAGAACCTTGTTTTTGCCCAATTTATGAAGAGCTATATAGCTTGCTCAGGATTAAAAACAACTTTCCCAATCGATCTGAAGGCAATCTCTGACTGAGCTTACAGTTTATGATTCTTTCTTGCTTTTCTTATCAGCTACTAAAAAAACTTTTTATAAAATTAATTGATAATTTAAAGTTACTCATACTTTAGGGTTATTTATATATTATTATCACTTACAGGAATTTTTGAAGGTGGTGCTATATCCAAAGAGTAATCCATTTCTTGTGTGCTAAGAGTTCTGAGTGACAGCGAGCATTCACCAATGGTCTTCTTCCTGGGAGTCTGGGTTTGAACCTTAAATACAAGCCTTACACTTTGCAGACTTTGGAGTTTAATAGCAAACACAAAAGTTTCCATAAACTCAATTGTCTAAAAAGAAAATAGAAAGTATATAAATAAAAGGACTGAAAAAAGGGTGATATGCCAACACAAAATAAATAAAAATAATATATTTTAATCTAGGAAAGGTAGATTTGATTTTTTACAACAATAGAAAAAACACTTTTTAATGCGAACAAAAATGAGAATGACCATGACTTGTTTTTCCAGAATTTATCCTAGCTGCTGCCTTTCTTCATTTTCCCAAATCATCCTTTTAATTACTTAGTCAGAAATTCAGGTCACTACCAACACCAAGCATACCAGAATATATATATAGCTTTTCCCCTTTTTGAAAATGAGGTTGTTTTTCATCTTTAGTTCTGGGGCAGCTTCTCAGCTATTTACAATTCTTCCGCAGCAAATAAGAGCGGTGTCAGAATCTCAGGTGAGCTCTCTCGGTACCCGAAATCTAACTTGTTCACATTACAAGGCTTGAATTATTTCTTTAAGGGAGCGATTGTTTGTCTAATGTTCTTCCCGTCTATTGGGATCCAGTTTCTCTTTTGGTAACGTTTGTTCCACTCTTTCCAATCTGAAAATCGATCTCCTTAACAGAGAAGACAAAGAAGTATTAAGTCCTACCTTCTCACACGAGCATCTACCTATGCTGCAAGCCCGTGTTTTCCATGCTTGAGAAAATTTCAAATGTTCTTTTTGTTACTTTTAATATATACTTTTAAATGTTTATTGTTGAGAGTATTACATATGTCCCCCATCTCCCCCATCCAGCCCATTCCCAACCCTCACCCCAGGCCTTCACCAATTCAAATACAAGATTGTACTCAAGTGCACTGCTGTCCACGGGTTATGCAATATGCATACAAGGTCTTCGGTTGATTGCCTCCCATTTACTTTTAATATTTTTAAACCTGGTCTTACCGCGGGCTAACATTTTCTTGACACTAGACTACACACTCCCTTCTTTCCATTTTTAATGTGTCCTTTTTAAAAAGGAGGGGTTTTTTTTTTCCTTTTGAAAAGGCAAGGTATCTGGGCAACTAACAATATATTTTATGTATCGTGCTCAATTTTTCTCTTTTATTGTAATTTTTATGTTTGTGTAGTCAGAATTGTGTTTCTTGAGAACCTCCGAACCACTTAAGCTTTCTCTTCCCCCCTAACTTTTGCTAAGTTTACTTCGTTTACTTGAAAATTAAAAAGTGAAACAAGTAAGTGTCAGGATTATAGCCAGGTATAAGACATTTCCATTTAGACGTCCTATAATCTATATTTTCATAAAGAAATATCCTACTACATATACATCACTTTTGATTTCTGCCTTCTCACTTATTAAGAACATTTCCCCATATCCTTAAAAACTCTTCCTAAACATTACTTCTCATAGCTTTCTAGTATCCTATCACATGGTGCTACGGTTTTGTGTCCCCCAAAAAATATACCCTGAGGATGTAATTAGTGAAGTTAAGATGAGGTCGTATCGGAGTAGAGAGACTGGTATCCTATGACACTGAGAAGACACAGAGAGACAGGGAGAACGCCATGTGCAGATGGATGCTGAGATCAGAGTGAAGGCCAGGAATGCCAGGGATTGCTGGCCATCCCCAGAACGAGGAGAGGCATGGAACAGATCTCCCCTCAGGAAAGGAACCAACGCTGCTGAAGTCTTGAGACCAGACTTCCTCCAAACTGTGAGAGGTCAATTTCTGTTGTTCTAAGCCAAAACCCTAGGAAACTAATACATGTGGTATTCCATGAGTTTTCGCAATCATTCCCCTTTATGAGACATTTAGATTGTTTCCAACTTTTCCACTATGGATACTACACACACACACACACACACACACACACACACACACACACACAGGATTGGCAAAAGTAGGTTTACAGTTGTGAGTACATGAAACAGAATTTATTCTATTATTTATTAACTAGAGGCCCGATGCACGAAATTCATGCAAGAGTAGGCCTTCCTTCCCCCGGCTGCTGGCACCGGCTTCCCTCTGGCACCCGGGACCTGGGTTTTGCTCCGGCCACTGGCAGGTACCCGGGACCTGGGCTTCCCTCTGGCCCCGGCTTCGTCAGAAAGGACGTCCAGTCTAATTAGCATATTACCCTTTTATTATTCTATTATTTATTTGTATCATTTGTTTTCTTATTATTATTTCAAATCTTTTATTATGGTTTATCTTTTAGGCAATGATGGAGAAGCATGTAAAAAAACAGATGACAATCAAGAACTCTGTGCCAAAGTATGCTTGAGTATAGCAAGTAGACTACAAGAATCCTATATAAGAAAAGGGTAATATGCAAATTGACCCTAACAGCAGAACCACTGGGAACGACAGGTCACTATAATGTGCACTGACCATCAGGGGGCAGATGCTCAATGCAGGAGCCCCACTCAGCCACAAGCCGGGCTGACAGCTTTGAGTGCAGCAGCAGTGGCGGGAGCCTCTCCCGCCTCCTCAGCAGCGCTAAGGATATCCTATTGCAGCTTAGGCCCGCTCCCTGGGAGCAGGACTAAGTAGTCAGCCAGACATTGCCTGTGGACTCCCAGGCTGCCAGAGGGATGTCTGATTGCCAGCTTAGGTCCGAACCCTTGGGGAGTGGGCCTAAGCTAGCAGGTGGACATCCCCCGAGGGGGTCCCAGACTGTGAGAGGGCGTAGGTTGGGAAGAAGGACCCCCCTGATTGCACGAATTTTTGTGCACCGGGCCTCTAGTGTATAAATAATGAAGGTTGGCAGTTTGAGCACTTACAAGATTGTACTCAAGTGCACTATGCCATTGTGACATGCTTTTGAGTTAATAAGCTATTGTAATAATCGTAGCCCACGTCTCTTTTTCCATATGAACAACTGTAAACCTACTTTTGCCCCACCCTGTATATGTATTTTACATATATATTAGATTATTTCTATGGAACAGATTCCAAGTAGAATAACTATATTAAAAAGTACACATAACTTAAGATTTTGATGTGTATTGTCAATAAAATAACTTTCAGAAAGTTTTATGTTCTAGAGTACTTGTAACATTTTTTCTACTTTTAATAAACAAAAAGGACAGAAAATAAAGAGAAAGCAATATGTAATTTCATGTTTATCAGACATTTGAATTACCTTATTTTTAAATGATGTTTTTGTAGAAGATACCTTTCATTTGCATGGAAAACACTAACCTTTCAACCCATATCAAAAGACAAAGATGAAGATAAGTTAATGTGAAATCTAGAGCCTATAAAACCAAATTCAGGATAATAAAGAAAAATATTTAAAAGAAATCAATTGCAATAATACACTTATTTCTCAAAGCCATATGGGGGGAGAGGATGAAAAACTAGACATTTATTTTCCTTTCATAAGAGAACTATACAGAGTTTTCTTATATATTGTTCATCTTCTATGTATTTTAGTGATTAAAATTTTCTTTTTAAATGCACCTTAATATTGGACAATGAAGTATCAAGTACTTTTACTAGTAAGGCTCAAAATTGTCATTAAAAAGCAGGGGGTACATAATGTGTAGTTTTCCTAAAATAAAACACTTTTTTAATTCCAATTCCTTACATGAGTTAAAGTGACAAACATGAGAAAAACATAAAAAGAAATTCAAACACCAACAGCCACTTACACTGGAGCCTTCCTTGGCTGAAGATTTGAAATGCACTGGTTTGGGCAATGTCAGGACTCCTTTTATAGAGATAGCAGGAGTGTCGCCATAACTAGAGGGCCAACTTAGATCTTTGCACTAAAAAAATTAAAAATACAGCTTGAGTTTTACAAAGGACACAATACAATTATTTTATGTATTTTTCAAGTTAATGACTTTAGATACAAACTGTAAAAGTAAACTTACCGAAGCCTCCTGTTTCATCTACATTAAAATAATTTGACATTTAAAGTTCTCAATATCACATCAATCTCTTTGAGAGTAAAAATCAAATACTTCCACCACACCTACTGATTTATTTTCTTTAGGTTCTTTATTATATGCTATTTTCTGCAAAATATTATAAAACTCTAAATTCCTAAGAGGTAATGACCCATTCCCCAGAAGAGAGCAATAATATATGCTTATACTGTCTAAATATTCCATTTTGTAAGAAAAGTTGGTGTGCACTATAATAATGTACCTGTAATACTGTGATCCAGATTTGCTCTGCTGAAGAATTATAAAACACCTTCACGTTCAATCTCCCCAGATCTCTTTCATCTCCTGACAGAGTAATCGTATCTGAATTGTAAAAGGACAAAGATGTTTGAGATACTACACAACCCTTCTGACCCAATTAAGCTTTGATACAATTTGATTTTAAAGACAAAATAGAAAAATGCTACAATTATTTTTTAAAGTTGACAATTTAATATAACAAACACCACCCTTTAATGTTTTACTGAAGTGCAAGGGGGAAGATATACTATAAAAAGTAATACATGGGCCCTGGCTCATGTGGGTTAGTGGTTAGAGTGTCACCATGCCCCGTAGGGTTGCAGGTTTGATCCCTGGGCCCCAGTCAGGGGCTAGTGTGGGAGGCAACCAACTGATATGTGTGTGTGTCTCTCTTTCTTTCTGTATGCCTCTCTCCCATCCTCCCTCCCTCCCTCTCTCTCTTCCCTTTCCTCCTGTCCTTCCACTCTCTCTAAAAATCATAGGAAAAAATACCCTTGGGTGAGGATTAACAAACAAACAAAAAAGTAATGCATAGCTTAAAAACGTAACCCAATTATAACCTGAGAAATTTAAGTTAAAACAAAAACTTTCCCCAAATAATATTAACATGGACTTAATACTTTATACTTCAGCAAGTTCTTTACTAATATACTTTAAAACAAACCAACAATGGATATTTAACTGCTCCACTTTTAAAAAGATGTATTCATGTCTGAACACTAAAACAGAGTCCATCTGATGTGCGTATTCATACACAGGTAACACTGCCAACACATATGTAACTGGAGGCCCAGTGCATGGATTCTTGCATGGATGGGGTCCCTCAGCCTGGCCTCCATCCTTGGGGTATGTAGCAGTGCCAAAGTGGCAGGCGGCCAGGAAGGAGCCCCAGCCGGGGCCTCTCATCCTGGCCCTGCTGCACCTGCTGCAGCGTGGAGGCAGGAGAGGCTCCCAGCGCCGCAGCTGCGCCCGCCAGCCATGAGCCCAGCTTCTGGCTGAGCTACGTTCCCGCTGCAGGAGCGCACTGACCACCAGGGGGCAGCTCCTGCATTGAGCATCTGCCCCCTGGTGGTCAGTGTGGGTCATAGCGACCGGCCAACCAGTCGTTCCAATTGTTCGGTCTTAACGGTCGTTTAGGCTTTTATATACGTAGATTATCTAGAGTTTCTCTTACTGTGTCATATATACTTTCAAATTACTATTGGGTAGAAATAATTCCCTTAAGAATATAAAAATAGGGTACTTTATTCCTTACCCAAGCTTCTGTTGCTCCCCTGAGAATTTTTCCTCGATGAAGAGCTGCTAGGCACACTGGACAGTGAATCATGTCTCTACAAATAGAGTTCTTTAGTCAGAAGCTGCATGTCAAACTTGAAAGCGTCTGAAATAATACCTACCCTCCTACCAAAAAGCATGCTAACCATTTTGACAGTTACTAATCAGAATTTTCCACTTTTAGATAGAAAAGATTTCTGTGTGTGCTATCAGGAAAATCTTACATATCTTACTAGATAATATATGGAAAAGCCTTTGCTGTTTGGTTTGGTTTGGTAATAAGGATGAAGAGATTATGGCTATGTTTCAGATTTAAAGGTACTAATAAAAATCTGAATATATTTGCAAGTGCCCTGCTACTTAACAACCTGTAAAGTAACAGTTATTCCAGCATGGTCCCTCTGGACCGAGAGGTACATCATCACCTGGGAAACTATTAGAAATACAAACTCACTGCAGAGCTACTAAATCGAAAGCTCTGGGGGTGAAGCCTGGCATTCTGTATTTTAACAAGCTCTCTACACAATTCCAATGCATGCTAAAGAACTGGTGCTATAAAGAGTTAAGTTTGCAAAAATTTAATTCAACTGGGATTATTAAAGATTATTTAGAATACACTTCATTTTAATAAAATATATGTATATATGTTCATGTGAAAAAAGTTCACAAATATGTAAAAACAATATTTGCACAGTGTTTTTACTCAGTTATAGGAACATAGGTGATTTGTCTTTTTACTTTGCTTAAGTCTACTTTCTAAGTTTTAAATAATAATCACAGTTCACTTGTATTTAAAAAAGAAACATTTTTTAAATGTCAAAAATTTGTCAGTTCTATTTGAAACATAGGACAGTATTTTAATATAAATGAATAATTAAAGTTCTACATCTCAATAGAAATACTACTTTTTATTAACTAGTTTTGTTCATTAAAGAAAGTAAAATCAATAAGCACTTTAAAATATATACCATTTTAAATTCCAAGTATCTGAGTGCATATCAAATGAGAGATATAAGACTCATAAAAAAAAAACAACAACAACAAAAAAAAACTACTGCCTTTTTTATTCACTTGAAAGCTAAAATAATGCACATGGGAAATATCAAGTGTTTATCATAAGAGGTATAAGAATAGATACATCTACATACGATGCAAAGCACGTTGTTCCTAATGTAATTTACACCCCTTTGAATTTTTAGCTTGAAAATAAATTATTGGATATAATTAAATTTATATAAATAATTTACCTGCATGAACTTCTGAGATGAACTTGTAAGATCAAACATAGACTTGCTTAGCCCGGGAGAACCAGGGAGTTTGTTGGTCCTTAAATCACAAACTACAAAAAGACGTAAGTAAATTACTTATAGTAAAAAAGAAGAAATTCTATTTAATTACAATGAATTAAATCTTTTTAGGAATATATCATGAATATTATGCGCAAATCTACTTACGATATAAAACCTAACAAAATTTTAAAAATTTTTTCAATTATTTTACTTTGTTTGAAACAAAAACCAATAAAAATCAAACAATACATTTTTATATCCACATCAAACATCAAGCAGGGAAAATTCGTTATTTTCGCTACATTCCTCAATTCTTCATCTCATGAGAATAATCGAAGAGGTAAGTGTCCTCTGCGCTAAATGCAAGTCAACTGTTTAATGAGCACTTTTTTAAAAAAAATCAACACCAAATCCTAGGTGATCCTATATTGCTAGTTTCCCTCCTGACTGTAAGATCCTGGAAGAATAGAACTCTGCATACTAATGTGTATTCTAGCACAGTACTGAAATAAATAAGTACTTAGATAAATATTTCTGCGTTATTTTTAGGGCCTGAATTCAATGTTGAGACAGATGTGTGACCTGAAGAACAGTGAGAAATTTGTGAATTAGATATGTACAAGATAGACTATCACTGATGCAGTTTCAAATATGAAACTAAGAAAGTTCTAAATATCACTTAGGCATTTCCTATTTTCTTTGTTTACATTTGTAAACCTATCATGTTTCTAAATATATCATTTTTATTACATAGAGCAGAAAAGGAACATTTATGAACGGATAGATGATATATAACATATATCAAAATAATCTGTAAACAAACTTTTTTTTTTCCAAAAAGGACAAATAAAATGGAATTTAGAACTCACTAACACATACAACTTATTAGTCTTTCCATTTGTATATTAGATATAATGCCACAAAGAATCAGGATGCTTATCTCGGCACTTCTGAAGCCTGCTTTCCCCTTATTGGTAAATTGTTTCCCGTAATAAGAATCATCTCTCCCAGGGTCTCTGGTTTAATCTGACTTGGACATTTTTTGCTAAAAGAGAAACACAGAGAGCCAGCATGGCTGCCCCAGCTGAGGAGGAGAAAGTGGGAGCACAGAAAGAAGGATCTGGGAGTCTGATGGGCTTTGGTCTTTTTGACTAAACCTCTCTTGTAACACATTCAATAAAAAGCTGAACTCTGAGAAAAAAGAAAGAACGACAAGGAGGGGAAAAAAACACACACAAAATTTCAAACCTGATCCATACAGTCTTGTCACTTCTGAAGTAGGGGGAAAGCGCCGACTCAGATCTGGGGAAATGTGCTGATACATATAGAACGGGTTGTACACGTCATAGCTGGATCCAGGGTGGGAGGAGCCGGAAAGTTCTGCCTTTCGATCCCCAAAAGATGCTCTGGCCGATCCTGAAAGCAAATGTTTCAAAAGTTTTATGACGTCCTTTTCTTGGGAGTTACTAGCCAACAGCTGGTGCATTCAAGGCAAAAGGAAAAAAAATTGTTTCGAGTAATATTAACTCGCATGTGTTTGATATCTAAAAAAATAAGCACACTTTTACTGAGCTCTAAGTGTGTGGAGTATTCTGCCAGGGACCAGCCATGAACCCTGCTCTCAAGACAGTCTGGTAAATTTTTGACATTTTTCTTTGCCCCTAAGCACACTATTACAAAATGCTGTGGACAATTCTGTATTTTGTGACTGGAGTTTCCTTTTATTTTTCTACTTACACAAAGCACATCTTTTCAGTAAAAAGATTATCTCTTTTTAGAAATGTGCTCTTTTCACGAAGACCACAACATTTATAAAAACGGACCACAAGCTCATTTCTGTCTGGCATCTTTTTGTTGTTGTTAATCCTCACTGTTTTTCCATTGTTTTTTAGAGAGAGTGGAACGGAGGGGATAGAGAGAGAGAGAGAGAGACAGAGAGAGAGAGAGAGGTAAACATCAATGTGAAAGAGACACATCGATTGACTGCCTCCCCCACCCACCCTGATGGGGGCGGGGAATTGACTCTGCAACCCAGGTTCACTCCCTTGACCAGGAATTGACTCTTCGGTGTGCAGGCCGATGCTCTAACCACTGAGGCCACCAGTCAGGGCTTTGTCTGACATCTTATCAGGACATCAGTGGTAGCAGCTGCTCTTCGAGTTCGCTGTACGGCCCAAGAATGACAAGAAGAAGAAGGATGCCAGAAAGTCAGCTGAGAAAGACAAAGACCCAGCGAACAAATCTGGGAGCAAGCCCAAAAGAAGGCGTGGTCCAAAGGCACAGTCTGGAACAAGCTCAATAACCTGGTCTTGCCTGACAAAGCACCATATGGCAAACTCTGTAAGGAAGTTCCCAACGAGAAGCTTATAAGCCCAGCTGCTGTCGCTGAGAGACGGAAGGTAGAGAGAGCTTCCTTGGCCAGGGACTTATTAAACTGGCTTCAAAGCACAGAGCTCAAGTAATTTACACTGCAAACACCATGGGTGGGATGCCCCAACCGCTGGAGAAGAGGCACGAACAAACTGTACATTTTGAAAAATAAAGTGTTATTAAATTAAAAAAAAGGAAACTGACCGTAGGCTGAGATACACAGAGCCAGTCTCAACAAATTATGAAGAACTGAGATCACAAAGAGTACGTTCCCCAACACCAATGCAATAAAGCTAGAAATCAAATAGCAAACCGGATAGGAAGTATTTATATTGAAACATAAAGGACCAAAAATAATAAAAAAAGGTCATCTTTAAAAAAACAAGATTGAAAGATGAGCTCTACTGGGTATTAAGAAAGGAATACTGGCACCAATGATAAGATCAATGGAACGGAATAGAAGGCCCCAAAAGAGACACCCATTTTATGGAAACTTGATTTATAATCAGTGTGGCACTGGCACTTTTCACTAAAAGGGATAAGACAACTGAATATGGATATAGAGGAAACAACAACCTTCATCCCAACTAAATATATTCACAAAAATTAATTCCTTGTGGATTGTGGCTCTAAAATAATGTTAAAGGCAAACCAATAAAACTTCTACATTAAGTACAATTATCAGAAAGTCTTCCTAGCCTTAGGGCAGAGAAGCACTTCTTAAAGGGAACATAGCTTTAATCATTACAAGTTTTTAATAAACTCAACTATATTAAATTTGAAATTTTCCAAATCTTCCATTTCCAAAGACTATTTAAGAGAGTAAAGAGGTAACCCACAGAGGGGAGAAAATATGTGCAAAAATATAACTAACAAAGTGCTTATATCTAGAATTTATGAGGAACTCCCACAAATCAATAAGAAAAAGATAAGCAAGCCTATATGTAAATTAGCTTAAGACTTAAGCAGACACTTCAGAAGAGAGTCTATTCAAATAGCCAATAAACATGATCTGGTGCTCAATCTCACTGATCATGAGGGAAATTAAAACTCTAATAAGATACCACTACATGCTCACCAGAATGGTTAAAATTAAAAAGCTGACAATAGCAAGTGTTGACAAGAAAGCAGAACAATGTGAATGCTGATGAAAATGTAAACTGATATAATCACTGTGGAAAAGTTTGCTAACTTCCACTAAAGCTAACGATATTTCTAACCTACAACCCCAACATGCCATTCTGGGACATATACACAACTGAAATGCTTGTACATGTGCACCAAGAGACAAGTACAAGCATGTTCATAAGCATCATTATACACAATAGTCGAAAACTGGAAAAAAACTCAAATGCCCATCAACAGTAAAAATAGATGAACTGCAGTATATACTTGATACATAAAAATATCTTATGCAATGGTCGCCAATCGGTGATCTGCGGACCACTGGTGGCCTGGGAGGTCCAAAAGGTTGGCGACCGTTGCCTTATAGTATGCTATACAGAAACACTTCTGTATCTTACCTTTAGACAACAATAGATAAATACACTCGCTGTACAGATATAAAAACAAACTGAAGCTTACTAACAACAATCTGAGTAAATTTCACAAATATAATGCTGACTGAAAGAACCCACAAACAAAAGAATATATACTGAATATGTTATTTCATTTACATAAAGGTCAGAAAACAATAAAAAAAACGAAGCCATAACATTTAGGAATATGTACTTAGGTGGTAAAAAGTAAGAAAAGCAAAAAAGCGATACTGATTACTCTGAAGTGACTGAAAAGGGAAAGATGGAAGCTTTGGGGTTGCTGGCTTTACTCTCTTTACTTGAGTGGTGACTATACACATGATTTGCTTTGTAATAAATCACTGCGTGATAGATTTCTTTGTTCCTTTTTTCTACATGTGTTTTATATTTAGATCAAATTTTCTTCAAAGCTTAAAATCACAGTGGAAATAATATATACACATAAAGTTTTTTAAATGTTTAAATCATCACCATGTTTTCATTCTTTTTGTTCCATTTAAAACAGAACCCACAGTATAAAGTAGTATTTTCTGAATTAAGCTAAACAATAAAGCAGGTAGCTTGACATTGAGTTCAGAAAAGAAAAATAAAATATGAGGTTATGAGGTGAGATTCTATCCTCATCCTGTTTCAAAAAAACTATGTATACAATCCAAGCACAGCCCATGTCAGAGGGGTGCCAAGAGGGAGCTATGATGCCAGAGAGCCTAAAGAGTGGGCACCCCTATGAGCTAACACTTGACTCATTCAACACATAAACAACTACAACGTCTATGGTAACAAGAATAGCACTGTCAAGAGTATGACTCACTGCCTTTATAGGCTATACCTAAAAAGGAATATTCTGATTTCATTTTTCCTTTATAAGTAAGCCACTACAGAATTCCAATTTTCCCCTCAAACAGTACACAGTGATAGCAGTTTTTAAGTTCAAGAGGAATTTCTCTCAATTTACAGAACCACACTGTTGTAAAGTTGCATAACTGCCAACACATCTCAAAAGCCCTATTTGAAATTTCAATATTAATTCAAAATGTATCCTCTGGATGGGTAGGTAGGTAGGTGATAAAGCCAGCACAGTAAAACTTTAATGACAGATCTGTCTGCTATCAAAGCAGGAGTCTACAGCTGTGATCAGACTCATTTGCAAGTAATGCGACAAAACAAATTTCAAATATTTGAAACATAATTTAAGTCACAATTGATACTGGTCTGCTCTATCTTCTTCTCGAAATCTCCATATCTGCCCATCACTCACACATGCATTTGCACATACAGCTTACACATATTTTACTTCTATAATTAGGTACCAAGAAGACTTTCCCGACTTTAGTTACATAAAGTAATTCTCTCTCCAATATGCTAAAAATCAGATGGCTTCACCACATCCTCCGTGAGCCTATAATTTAAGTATAAGCCAATTTCTGACTCAGTCAGCTAAAAAAGTAATATTTATTAATGATACAATGAAAAAGAAGAAAAAGAAAAACGACCACATATTGCCAGGTAGGTATTTCTTACTTATTTTCTGATTACAACCCCCCCCACCCCCGCCCACATAAAATACTTTAAATGTCTAAGAATAGATAATTTATAAATTGTGGTACATCCATATAATTTAATACTATAAAGCCATTAAAAAGTAATGAATATGAAAACATGTTCATAACAGATGATGTGAATAAAATAAATTGCAAGACTGTTTACATGGCTTAATCCCAATGTTGTTAAACAGGTATGAGAGAAAGAGAAAAGCCAATTAATCATGGTATCCTGTGAGCCAGAGCTTTTAAAAACTATTTTTTAGAGATATATGAAAAATAAGACATAAGGTTCATCTTTCCTTGTTTCTTAAAAAAAAAAAAATATATCACTCCTACTAGACCTTATTTGCTTATAGATAACACTAAACTCTACACCAAAACCCAAAGGCACTGGAGCATAAATAAAGGCAATGCAGATTCTGGACAGGATTTGACTGTTGGAAAAAAAGAGAACAGTACAAAATTAGTTACCTGTTTTTAATAACTTTTAGCCGAAGGGCAGGCCAAAGTTGGCACTGAGCAGGGCGGGTAAAACTCCAATAGAAAATTCAGTCTTTCTGGCCTAAAGAACCAGAAGGCAAAGTTCAGAGCAATCACAGCAGCTAGAAAGTAAGGTGGGAATCTTGGAAAGGAGAAAACCCCAGATTATGTGAATAAAGTCTGCTCAAATACCTGGCTGATCCCTGAACCACACATGCGTGGGACAGACTCCAGCCAAGGGTAATAAAGCTAAGCTGAGGTAAGAGCTGCCACTACCAAGTCGCAGAATCCAACCGAGTTAATTGCCTGCTGAAAAAAAGAAAAGAAAGGGAAAAAAATAACCCTCTGGGTAATATAACAGATCTGAATCCCTAAAATATAATATCTAACATCCGGAATACAATCCAAAGTTACCAAACACAAAGAAACGGGAGAATCTGACCCATTCTCAAGCAAAAAGGCAATACACCAAATTCAAACCTAGATGACCTCAATGTCAGAATTTTTGGACAAACATGGTGAAGTTCAAAAATATAAAGGAAAATGGCTCAAAATAATGAAAAATATATGTCTAAAACAGAAAATTCAGTGGGTAGGCTTAACAACTGAATGGCGATAACAAAGGAAAGAGACAAATAACTTGAAGATAGATCAATATTATCCAATCTTAAGACCAGAAAAAGAAAAAAAAGATCGGGGGGGAAAAGAAGTCTCAGAAACACATAAAACAATATCAGAGAGTCCTACATATGTGTAATTGGAAACCCAGAAGAAGAGAAAAAGGGACAGAAAAAAATATTTGAAGAAATATTCTAGGTCTTGATAGTTTTATTACACTAGTACATGCATGCATTTGTCAAACTCAAAAATTACACACTTAAAACTTGGGCAGCTCACTGCATGTAAAGTTTATGTTGAAAGAAGAAGACTAAACAGATGCTGACTAGTAAATTATATAAATGCTTAAATGTTTAGAGGAAAGTCTACTAATGTCCATAATTTACTCCGACATGCATCCTCCTCCACAATAAAGTATTAATAACGCACAGAGAAATGAATAGATGAATATATGTGATAGGAAGTATACTAAAATGTAAAAATCTATATGATAGATATGTAGAGGTATTTACCACTAAATTCTTTCAATTTTTCTTTCAAATTCTTTCTGGATGTTTGAAACTTTTCATAATAAAATTTTGAGAAAAAATAATCATTGTGACTGTTTCAATCCACTAGAACAAATTATTTTTAAAATACAAGAGTTACATGTTGTTTCCTCTTCATTAGTCCATTGACCTCTACAATATCAGCCAAAATTCAAGCCAATGAACCTACCTCATTCAAGCAGCTATTTAGACTGGCAAGTGTACTTATAGACTGGGGAGCATAGTGGTGAAGAAAGATGGGAAGAAAGAAAGACTACTTCATTGCTTCTTTATTTCTCTTTACACCAAACTTTAGAAAACAGTAGACAGAATGTTTCCTCTATTTACTGATCAAATCCAGAGTAATTCCTCTATTTTTTCTTTCCTCACGTATGAAGGATAACTGATTATAATTATAATAGTGGCCCGGTGCACAGATTTGTGCACATTGAAAGGAAATTAATTAGAAGGAAGATTCGTGTGGAAATTACATTACTGCAAAAAATTACATGTCAAAATAGTATATATAATATAGTATTATAAAGTTAAAATACAAAATATTTTAATATGTATCGCACATGCGCGAGTCAACGTTTATTTTTAGATCGCCGGTGTGCATCATATGTACCAGACGGTCGGTCACACGCAATTGGTGCCAGCGAGAGCTTTATATGTATAGTGCATGTGCAAGTCGGTTGGTCGGACGGTCAGACGTACATACAGCTGGTCACTCAGCCTTTTACATAGAGAGATTATTCCTTTAAAAAAGGCCAAATCTAGATACAAATGTGTTGTATTATGGTCAGATTTCACAATGAGAGCTTTCAAAAATACTAAACATTAAGTTCCTCTACAGAAAGAGCAAAACACAAAATGCAAAATGTAAAATCTGTGTATAAAAGATATACCTTTATGTTAAATAGAGCGATAACAGCATTGAAAGGCTACATGTTGATTTTTAAACCCCGGCATTTTTCTTGTTTACCTTCAAGTTCTTCTAGATGTGAAGGAGTTCCTTGCGTCCTGGGCTGAATATAAGATAACGTAAACTTGGGCACCACAAATGGTACTTGTTTGCCATCAGATGGTAACTTGGAAAGTAAATAATCCTCAGTACAGCCAACCTGAGGCTTTACACAAACAGAAGTCAATGGAGGGACACAGATGGCAGTCTTTTGACTACTTGAGACTGCTGTTTTAGCTTCCACAGAAACTGCATGGAAGAGAAGGGAAAAGAAAAGAAAAAAATCACAAATACGTACTCAGATTTATATATAAAAATCTAAACCTAGCATGCTTTGGTATTTATCCAATCATTTCAGAAGAAACGGCTGATCCATAAACTACTCTTGGGTCCTATCAAGCACTTCTGGCCTCTACATTAATTCCGTCCAGCCAATACTCGAGCAATTAATACACTACTGCCAAAGTATAATAACAGCATAATGGTGAAAGGAGGCTTCAAAGACTCATTCCCACAAGAGTTCATACAAGGAAAAACAAGTTTATTTTGAAGTTAATTGCACAATACTTTCAAGTGAAATCTAGTCATTTAAAACTACTCTCAACAAAGCAATTCTTCTTGTCAATACTAATGGTTACATCAGTCTTAAATACATAAAGCAATTCTGAAAAAGCTACTTTTAGGTCTCTAAGTCTACAAAAATCTTCACCAAATCACAAAGTAAAATATACACTGACCCTAACATGATAGCAACTCTCCTTGTGCTAGCTTCTCTGACCTACTTTGTTCGATAGACTGATATATAATTCCTAAAATGAGGGAGTTAGGATGGGGAGGTACGGGACACCCAGAGTTAATCCACCTGTAATACTCATGTCCAATTCTTCTCTTCCCTTACTTCCTTCTTCCCACTCAGCTTGCTAACATCCTCCTCATATTTCCACACCAAATACCACCTTCTTTGTGGGATTGTCTCAGGGTGCCTCCTGGGTTGAATTCATCTCTCCCCACTGTGCCCCGGCTATTTTAATACTTACCTCGCATGCCTTATATTTATGTTTATGCCTCCCTCATGCAGTTAGGAAATATGTCTCATTTATTTTTATATTACAAATGCCACAAGTAAGGGGACATTAAATAAATGTTTGCTGAAGTCATAAAACGAAACTCACCGTTGTGCTTTTCTGTTTCACCATAGAAACATCCCCTACAGCAACTCTTTATAAATTCTGTTGCCATTACACTCAATTTCCAATATTCAGCAAAAGATGCACGCTTCCAACTTTAATATTAATCTGTTGGTAGAAAAGAAAACAAGTTAAAATAATCATGCTAACGTCATTAGGTATCACCAAATAAATCAAATTATCTGTCTTTCTAAGATATTCAAATATTCAGAGGAAGGTAGATTTTTTTGTTCCTATTTGTAATTTTTATAACCTGGGCTCCTTATAAGTTAATAAAAATGGAATTGAACAACCTCAATGTTAAATGTGAAAAAAAAATCCCCACTCTCCATTTTCTCTTTAGCCTCATATATCTAAATTGATGTCCAAGCAAAATTTGAAACATAAAATGGCCCTCATAAAAAAGTGTGAAAAAAATTCACTTGCTCCAAATCAATTCTTTTGGTAACCCAAAGACCTTATAATGGGGGCGAATAAACAAATAATTTCATACTTTATGAGTTAGCTTAGTGCTTAGAATTACACTAGCAGAAAAATATACCTTAAACACTGTAACACTTACATGCAATGCCATCTAAGTCACAAATAAGAGATGTTGAAAATAAAGGGGGGTCTGTTAAGTTTACCAGAAATGTAAGACTGTATAAGGAGACATATTTGTTGTAGGAACAGTGCACTAATCACATGACACATTTCATGGACAAGCTAACCTGGCATTCAAGAACAAGACTCCCCCTGGCTTTTGGGTTTGAGATGGCAAACTAGGAAGATCCTGAGCTCACCTTCTCTCATTGACACCAAAACTACAACTACACACAGAACAGCCATCTCGGAGAGCAGCGACCTGAGGGCTAGCAGAACAGGTTTCCCACAACTACGGATGTAAAGAAAAGGCCACACTGAGACGGGTAAGAGGGGCAGACTCAGTGTAGCCAGGGCCCACCCTAACCCCCATTCCCCGTGTGGTGGCTCACAAGTGGGAGGGATATCGCAACTACAGAGGTCCCCCACCAAGAGCGAGGGGTCCAAGCCTCAGCCTGGGGGACCTGCAGCAGGAGGAGGAGCCTAGAGCAGTGGTTCTCAACCTTCCTAGTCCCGCGACCCTTTAATACAGTTCCTCATGTTGTGGTGACCCCCAACCATAAAATTATCTTCGTTGCTACTTCATAACTGTGATTTGCTACTGTTATGAATCGTCATGTAAATATCTGATATGCAGGATGTATTTTCAGTGTTACAAATTGAACATAATTAAAGCGTAGTGATTAACCACAAAAACAATATGTAATTATATATGTGTTTTCCGATGGTCTTAGGCGACCCCTGTGGAAGGGTCGTTCGACTCCCAAAGGGGTCGTGACCCACAGGTTGAGAACCGCTGCTCTGTAGCATCTGGCTTTGAAAACCAGCAAGATTTATTCCGGGAGAGCCAAAGGGCTGTGGGAAACCCAGGTTGTGCTCTTTCTGAGTTCCGGCACGCAGGCAGCAGTTTGAAAAGCATCTGTGTCATATATGAAGGTGATAGATACATGGACCAACTTTAGGGCATGTGCTGCAGGGGCAGGGATCTTTCTCCAGAGTCCAGAGTGCTGCTGGGCACCACATTCCCCCCACTGCTTTACTCTCTTTCCACCTAACTGGTCTGATGCTGGCAGGCGCCATTTCTGACTCTCCATTAACCTTGAGAATACTGTTCAGCCCCCTAGCATTTCCCTGACGACCTCTCCAAAGCCTGCCACAATGGTGGGCGACCTCAGCCAGCATCTGTGCACAGCAATGTGTCTACAACAGTCTGCAAAGCTGAAGATATGCATTGTAAACCGTAAAGCAACCACTAAATAAGAAAACAGGGCTTTAACTAATAAGCTAAAAAGTTGATCAGATGGAATTATAGGAAAAGATTCTTAATGTAACAGAAAGCAGAAAAAGGGAGGGGCAAAGAAGAACTGAGATATTACCCTTTTGAAAGAACCAAGATGGCGGCATAGGTTAACGCCGGAGTTTGCTGCCTTGAACAACTACTTCAAAAGTGAAACTAAAAAACGGAACGGACATCACCCAGAACCACAGGAACGCTGGCTGAGTGGAAGTCCTACAACTAGGAGGAAAGAGAAACGCATACGGACACTCAGAGGAGGCGCAGTGCTGAAGTCAAATTCTGAGGTGCGGAGTGCGCGGAGCGGGCTGGCGGCGGAGGGCGCGGTTGGCGTTTTCAATCGGGAGGGAGTCGCAGACTCTGAGCTCCAGATCCGGGCCAGTCTTTAGGGACCCAGATTCAAACGGAAGAAGCGGGACTGTCTGGCTTCGGTCAGAGCGAGTGCAGCTTTCTCTCTGAGCTTTGCAGTGGTCGCTGGGACTCAGAGAGGCAGAGCCTCTGGGGACAGGACTGAGAGCCGCCATAACTGCTCTCTCCAGTCCACCCTGTTGATCCTGTGCGACCCTCCCCACCCAAGCCCTGCACAGAGGCATTTGCCGGATAGCCTCAGGCAAAGGCTAGATTAGCACCTCCCTAGAGGACAGAAGTTCTCTCACTGCTGACACAGCTGATTCTCATAGCCACTTAGCCTGGAGGTCAAACCCTCCCTGGAATTAGCTACAACAATCAAGATTTAACTATAAGACTGCGCACAAAGACCACTAGGGGGTGCACCAAGGAAGCATAACAAAATGCGGAGACAAAGAAACAGGACAAAATTGTCAATGGAAGATATAGAGTTCAGAACCACACCTTTAAGGTCTCTCAAGAACTGTTTAGAAGCCGCCGATAAACTTAATGAGATCTACAAGAAAACTAATGAGACCCTCGATGTTATATTGGGGAACGAACTAGAAATTAAGCATACACTGAAATAACGAATATTATACAGACTCCCGACAGCAGACCAGAAGAGCGCAAGAATCAAGTCAATGATTTGAAATGCGAGGAAGCAAAAAACACCCAACCGGAAAAGCAAAATGAAAAAAGAATCCAAAAATGCGAGGATAGTGTAAGGAGCCTCTGGGACAGCTTCAAGCGTACCAACATCAGAATTATAGGGGTGCCAGAAGATGAGAGAGAGCAAGATATTGAAAACCTATTTGAAGAAATAATGACAGAAAACTTCCCCCACCTGGTGAAAGAAATGGACTTACAGGTCCAAGAAGCGCGGAGAACCCCAAACAAAAGGAATCCAAAGAGGACCACACCAAGACACATCATAATTAAAATGCCAAGAGCAAAAGACAAAGAGAGAATCTTAAAAGCAGCAAGAGAAAGAAACTCAGTTACCTACAAGGGAATACCCATACGACTGTCAGCTGATTTCTCAACAGAAACTATGCAGGCCAGAAGGGAGTGGCAAGAAATATTCAAAGTGATGAATGCCAAGAACCTACAACCAAGATTACTTTATCCAGCAAAGCTATCATTCAGAATTGAAGGTCAGATAAAGAGCTTCACAGATAAGGAAAAGCTAAAGGAGTTCATCACCACCAAACCAGGATTATATGAAATGCTGAAAGGTATCCTTTAAGAAGAGGAAGAAGAAGAAAAAGGTAAAGATACAAATTATGAACAACAAATATGCATCTATCAATAAGTGAATCTAAGAATCAAGTGAATAAATAATCTGATGAACAGAATGAACTGGTGATTATAATAGAATCAGGGACATAGAAAGGGAATGGACTGACCATTCTTGGGGGGGAAAGGGATGTGGGAGATGCGGGAAGAGACTGGACAGAAATCGTGCACCTATGGATGAGGACAGTGGGTGGGGAGTGAGGGTGGAGGGTGTGGCGGGAACTGGGAGGAGGGGAGTTATGGGGGGGGAAAAAGAGGAACAAATGTAATAATCTAAACAATAAAGATTTAATTAAAAAAAAAGAAGAAGAAGAACTGAGATGAACAGTAAACAAATAGCAAGGTTATACAGCAGGTGGAACACAAAAACAGGTGGGATGAATAGGAAATAGCAAAATGATACATTTAAACCTAACTATGTCAATAATCACATTAAGTATAAATGCTTTAAATATGCCAATTAAAAGGCAGAGATTGTTAAGACTGGATAAAAAAGCATGACCCAAGTATATGCTGGCTATAAGAAATGTACTTTAAATATAGACACAAATAATTTTATAGTCAAAGGATGGATATCCCTCATGAATATAGACACAAAGATCCTCAACAAAATACTAGCAAACTGAACCCAGAAACGTTTAAGTAGGATTATACATCATAGCCAAGTGAGATTTATCCTAGGATGGCAAGGCTGGTTTAACATCTGAATATCAATGCATGTAATACATTACATAATAAAATAATCAACAAAAACTACATGATCATCTCAATAGATTAAAAAAAAATCTGAAAATTCCAATACTCTTTCATGCTAAAAGAAAGAAAGCTGATCAAACAAGGAATAGGAGAGAATCTTCTCAACAAAATACAGAGCATCTATGTAGCTGCTGAAAGACTGAATGCTCTCCCTCTAAGCCCAGGCAAAAGACAAGGATGTCTACTCACCAACTCCCGTTCAACGCTGTTCTGTAGATTCCAGCCAGCACAATTAGGCTAGAAAGCTATAAAGGGCATACATCCTGGAAATAAAGAAATAAAATTCTTTATTTAAAGACAAATTTGACCTTGCAAATAAAAAGAGCAAAGGAATCAACTAAAAACTAGTAGATGCAATAAACAAGTTGCATGCAGTGTTCAAAGCATAAAGTTGATATACAAAAATTAATTGTACAGGGTGAGGCAAAAGTAGGCTTACAGTTGTAAGTATGTGAAATACAGAGTTTATTCTTGTATTATTATTTATTGTGTTATTTCCCATATGAACTGTAAACCTATTTTTGTCCCAACCTGTATTTCTATATACTAAAAATGAACAATCTAAAACTGAAATTAAGAGATGAGAGAGAGCAAGATATTGAAAACCTATTTGAAGAAATAATGACAGAAAACTTCCCCCACCTGGTGAAAGAAATAGACTTACAGGTCCAGGAAGCGCAGAGAACCCCAAACAAAAGGAATCCAAAGAGGACCACACCAAGACACATCATAATTAAAATGCCAAGAGCAAAAGACAAAGAGAGAATCTTAAAAGCAGCAAGAGAAAGAAACCCAGTTACCTACAAGGGAATACCCATACGACTGTCAGCTGATTTCTCAACAGAAACTTTGCAGGCCAGAAGGGAGTGGCAAGAAATATTCAAAGTGATGAATACCAAGAACCTACAACCAAGATTACTTTATCCAGCAAAGCTATCATTCAGAATTGAAGGTCAGATAAAGAGCTTCACAGATAAGGAAAAGCTAAAGGAGTTCATCACCACCAAAGCAGTATTATGAAATGCTGAAAGGTATCCTTTAAGAACAGGAAGAAGAAGAAAAAGGTAAAGATACAAATTATGAACAACAAATATGCATCTATCAACAAGTGAATCTAAGAATCAAGTGAATAAATAATCTGGTGATCATAATAGAATCAGGGACATAGAAAGGGAATGGACTGACTATTCTTGGGGGGGAAAGGGGTGTGGGAGATGCGGAAAGAGACTGGACAAAAATCGTGCACCTATGGAAGAGGACAGTGGGTGGGGAGTGAGGGCGGAGGGTGGGGTGGGAATTGGGAGGAGGGGAGTTATGGGGGGAAAAAAGAGGAACAAATGTAATAATCTGAACAATAAAGATTTAATTTAAAAAATTAATTAATTAAAAAAAAGAAAGAAATCTATTCCATTCATAAAAACATCTAAAACAAACCCTAAAATATTTAGGAATACCTTAAAAAGAGAAGTGAAAAACTTGTACACTGAAAACTATAAAATATCATCGAAAGATATTAAAGAAGCTTTCAATAAATGAAAAGATATCCCATGTTCATGGGTTGGAAGATATAATATTATTAAGACGGCAACACTCCCTGAATTTTCTACAGATTTAACATGATCCCTTCCAGCTTCTTTCTAGAAAGAGATCCTAAAATTCATATGGAAATGCTAAAGACACAGAGCAGCCATAACAATCTTGAAAAACAAGAACAAAGTTGAAAAATATACTTCTCAAAACTTACTACAAAGCTAAAATAATTAAGGCTGTGATATTGGCATAAGAAAGACATATGGATCAATGAAATAAAAACGAGAGCCTAAAAATAAGCCCGTATGTTTATGGCCAATCAATTTTTAACAAGGTGCCAAGAAATTTTAAAAAGAATAGTCTTTACAACAGATGGTGCTGGGACAACTGGATATCCGCATGCAAACAACAACAACAAAAAGTAAAGAAACTGGATGACTACCACACACTGCACATAAAAATTAGCTCAAAACTCATCGCCTATATATATGAGCTAAAATCACGAAACTCCTAGAAGAAAACACAGAAGTAATTAGTTCTTTGTAAACATGGATTAGGCACTGATTTCTTAGATATGACCCCAAAAGCACTGCAATAAAAAAAAAATTGATATATCAAATGTAATCAAAATTTACAACTTTGTGCTTCAAACGACACCATCAAGAAAGTGAAAAGCAACTCAGAGACTGGGAGAAAATATTTGCAAATCATAAATCCAAGAACGAGCTTATATCCAGAATATATAAAGGCCTATTACAACTCAATGACAAAAGAAAAACATCACAATTTTAAAATAGGCAAATAATTTGAATAGACACTTCTCCAAAGAAATATACAAGTGGACAAAATAGTACAAAATAGCACATGAAAGTATGTTCAACACTCTTAGTCATTAGGAAAATGCAAATTAAAACTACAATGAGATAGTACTATACACTTATTAAAAAGGATAAAATGGTAAAGTCTAGCCATTCAAGTGCTTGCAAGTGTGCAGAACAAGCAGAACTCTCATATTCAAATCGTGGCAATATAAAATGGTTTGACAGTTTCTTAACTTAAACATACATCTACCATATGATAGACATTCAATTCCTTGAGTAAATATACTCAGGGAAAAAGACATCATATATCCACATAAAGACGTGTACACTGCTGTTCATAGCAGCTCTATTTGATATAGTAACAAGCTATCCCATCTCCATCATCAGGTGAGTAAACGCATTATCTAAAATCTATACAATGAAATACTGCTCCGCAATCGGGGAATAACCCATCTGTGGACTGCTGTCTTCCCGCCAGTACTAGTAGATTCTCCAGTACGAAACATCTTCATTCTCTTTTTAAATATTGCTTTGCCCATTCTCAACTTATTAGGCTTTCTTACCATAATTTCTCTTTCTGGTCACTCTAATTTCCATGCCTCTTACTTTTTCTCTTTTCCATTTGTCTTTTTGAGCTGTATTCTGAATGATTTATTCTGACCTATATTCTAGTTCACTGATTCTTGGGGTTTGCCTAATTGCCTAATCAGGGGTTAAATGCAATAAATGAATTTTGATTTTTTTATTACTGCATTTTTCATGAATAGCAATTACACTGTTCTTTTTTAACCAGCTCTGTATCTCTGTCACTTTTAAGCCTTCTTCTCCCTGCATCCATTTTTTAAACTTGTCTGTTATATATGTAAAATAGCCCATTGTAGTTGCTTTAATAATCTGTGACTGGTAATTCCAATACATAAGGCTTTTATAAGTTTACTTCTAATTGCCTGTTGTTTCTGCTGATTCTTGCTCAGGTTGTCTTATGTCCTTGTGTACTTGGGTTATCTTTGACAATAAATTATTCACTGACTTCAAAACTTTAAATAAAAGATGACAGTATACTCCTACAGAGAATATTTGCATTTGCTTACAGGTGATTTTAACTTCATGCTTTCACCAATAACCCAATTTTTAAATGGGCAGAGGATGTGAATAGACATTTCTTCAAAGAAGATGGACAAATGGCCAATAAACACATGAGAAGGTCTCAACATTATTAGTCATTAGGGAAATGCAAAACAGAAACACAATGAGGTAGCACTTGACACACACTAGGATGGATCTAGTAAAAAGGACAGATACAGTGCTGGCAAGGGTGTGCGGAAACTGGAACCCTCATACGTTATTGGTAGGAATGAAAAATGGTGCAGCTGCTCTGGAAAAACAATTTGGTAGCTGGTGACGGATGGAGACTTGACTTGGAGTGCTGCACACACAATACAGTGTACAGATGGCATGTTGTAGAATTGTGTACCTGAAATCTGTATACTTTTGTTAACCAGTGTCACCCCAAACCGCAATAAATTCAATTAAAAGGAAAAAAGCAATTTTGAGGAATTGGAAGAAATTCAAGGTCTGAAATAAAATTAAGTGGACATTTTAAGTAATTAATAAAAGAAAAAGAGTTTGGTAGTGCCTCTAAAACTTAAACACAGAGTTACCATATGACCCAGGAATTCCACTCCTAAATATACCTATGAGATTGAAAAATTTATTTCCACACATTATGAGTAATGTTCATAGCACATTACTCATAATAGCCAAAAAGTAGATACAACCCAACTGTCCATTATTAATGAGTAGAAAAACAAAATGTAGTATATTTATACAATGGAATATTATTCAGGTATAAAAAGGAATACAGTACAGATTCATGCTACAACATGAATAAACCTCAAAAACATAGCACTAAGTGAACAAAGCAAGAAACAAAAGACCACATATTGTATGATTTCATTCATATGAGATGCCCAGAATAAGCAAATCCAGAGACAGGATGTAGATTAGTGACTGCCTGGGGCTTGGGGGAAGGGAAGCAATGAGTGACTGCTAATGGGGGTACATGGTTTCTTACCACAGTGATGAAATGTTTTGCAATTAGATAGTGATGATGGTTGCACAACTATGTGGGTAGAAAACCCACTAAATTGTACACTTTTCTGGCCTGAATTTTATGGTATGGACATTATATCTCCCAAAAACATGAATTTTAAAAATTCACATTTTGACATTTTTTATGACCACCACTGGGATGCAAATTTCTCCCATGGTCTGGTGGTTGCATTTCCTAAGGACAGGCTTCTTACCCCTCTGATTTACTTGGCATCAAGGCAACTTTCACTGCAGATCCTTGAAGGAGGTAGACTGAATTTTCATCCTTACATGATAGCACAGACATCTGGAATCCCAGAATTATGGGCAGACAGTCTCTGGTTAGCGAACCTTGACTGAGCCCTGTGCTGACTTCTAAGTATCCCTCCCATCCTGCAAATCCACCAAGTTCTTACTCAAAGCCAATCAAGTTGTCCCGCCCTCTCGCCCCTCCCCCGCCCCCCCTGGAGTTCAGCAAACACCCTCTTTAGTCTCTCAGAGTTTCAGCTTTCTCTTAGATTTTGACATATGAATTCCTAACTACCATTTAATTTTTTTAAAAAATACAGCATTCTTGGCTATTTCCAGTAAGAACGTTTTTTGCAAATATTTTAACTATATTCCCCAAAGTGAAAATCCTGTATTTGCTTTTCAAGTTAAAGTTAACTCTAATGAGTTAGGACAGAATTTGCAAAAACTAAAGACAGTCTGATAGTCTAACTTCAGTATTACTTGTGAGGTTGGGAGATTACTGTAGAGATACTTAGGACTTAAATAACACATCATACTACAATAAAAAGTTTTAAAAGAAGCATGGGTGGGTGATTTGTTCTTCTAGGTAGCGAGGTTCTTCAAAAAACTAAAGTAAGTAAGATTGCAGCAAAGATACACAAAGAAACCTAAGGAAAAAAAACAGAAGAAACATACACACATATGGAAACTTGACATAGGACACAGATCAATAAAAGGAAAAGCAGAATATTCAATTAAAAAATACTGGTCAAAAGATTAGCCATATGGCAAAAAATAAAAAATAAGTAAATTAGATTCCCCCACTTCACATCATACAAAAATCATGTGCACACGATTAAGGACATAAATATGAACAGCAACATTTTAAAGCTTTTAGAAGAAAATATCAGACTATATCTTTATGACCTCAGAGAAAGAAAAGATGTGTTAAACAAGATGCCAAAAGCACTAACCATAAGGAGAAAGATGACATATTCAACTGCATTAAACTATTGAATATGTCCATCAAAAAACACTATAAAGAAAGCAGGAAGACAGGTTACTTACCAGGAAAGAGATATTTGCCACATGTATAACTGACAAGGGATTAGCACCCAGAATCTATAATAATAAAAGCGTAATATGCTAATTAGACAGGACAAAGCCTGGGCTGCGGAGGGAAGCCCAGGTCCCAGATGCCAGAGGGAAGCTGGTGCTGGCAGCCAGGGTAAGGAAGGCCTATTCTTGCACGAATTTCATGCTCGGGCCTCTAGTATATATATATAAAGAATATACATATAAAGAGACTTCTAGAAATCAATTTTTTAAAGATTTTTAAAAACAATACAAACTAGGCAAAAGACCTATATGGGTTTCCCGTAGAAGAGGAATTATAAAAGGATCAACATCATTAATAACTAAGGAAATAGAAATTAAACTCCCAATGGGGTACCATTTCTCACCCACCAGATTGTTGAAAAGAAAAAAAATCAGGTAAGGACAAATACTGTACAAACTGTACATTGTCTCAATGTGGTTGAGAAAGGGAACAGGGCAAACACTTAACACACTGTGGGAGCGTAAACTGGTACAGCCACTTCATAAAACAATTCGGTATTATCTAGCAAGACTGAAGAGCTACAACTCCACTCCTAGGCAAAAAGCTAGGGAAATTCTCGTGGGTGGACACAGAGACATGAATTAGAACGGTCATAACAAGTCAGCTTTTACTGACAAAAAAATAAAAATTAAATTTAAAAAAGACCGCTGAAAAGTCCCCCAAATCTCCATTAACAGGAGGATGGATAAAACAGTGGTGGAGTCATACAATGAATGACATACAGCCATAAAAAGTAAACAAACACATCAACATAGATGAATCTCACAAATGTGTGCCCCCCCAAAAGTGATAGAATAGACAACTAAATAATACATCAGGGAGCGTGGAAAGAGAGAAACAATCAGGGATAAAGACATAATCAGTTCTTCAAAAATATTGACTATGTATTATTTCTAAAGTATAATATGGGTACAGGAATTTTATTTTATTTGTATTCTCTAAACCTGGGGGTGAAATTTCTCATTTAAAAATTAAGCAGAGCCATAACTGGTTTGGCTCAGTGGACAGAGCATCGGCCTGCGGACTCAAGGGTCCCAGGTTCAATTCTGGTCAAGGGCATGTACCTTGGTTGCAGCACATACCCAGTAGGGAGTGTGCAGGAGGCAGCTGATCAATGTTTCTAACTCTCTATCCCTCTCCCTTCCTCTCTGTAAAAAAATCAATAAAATATCTTTTAAAAAAATTAAGTAGATACATGGCTGTGGTAGAAAATATGAAAAATAGAGGATTATATGAAGAAAATAAAAATATCAATAATTCCATCATTCTGAAATGACTACAATAGTTAAAAGAAATAAAGACAATTGACCCTTGAACAACACCACTTTTGAATGGCATGAGTTGACTTATAGATGGACTTTTTTCAATAATACTGTAATGTATTTTCCCTGTGATTTCCTTCATAACATTTTTCCTAGCTTACTTTAGTATAAGAATACAGTTTCTAATACACATAACATACATGTGGTTAATTTACTGTTTATGTTGTCAATAAGGCAACAGTAGGCTATTCACAGTTAAGTTTTGGAGGGGTCAAATTTATATCTGGATTTGTAACTGCATGAGAGGTGGGCACTGCTAAGCCCCACTTTGTTCATGGGTCAACTGTATATTTCTTCTTAAAGGATGTGTTTTCTTCCGCTCTCTTTTTTTATTTACTCTTCTTTATAGCTTTATTGAGGTACCATGGACTTACAGTAAATTGCACATATTTAAAATGGACAATTAAATGAGTCAGACATTATGTATACATTGATGGAAGCATCTTCACAATCAAGAAAATGAACACATCCACCCCCCCCCATGTTTCCTCAGGCCCCTTTTTAAGCCATTCCCCTTCACTTTCCCTTGTCCCTCTCCCCAAGTAACCACTGATCTGTTTTCTGTACTTTACACTAATTGGCATTTTGTAGAATTTATCAGGTATATTTTGGGCATAATTTATGCATCTATTTCACTTTAGTGGATACTGCCAGGAAGTTCTGTAAAATGGCTGTACCAATTCACACTACTACCAGCAGAGTATGAGAGTTCCAGTTGCTCTACAACCTTGTAGACCAGCGGTTCTCAACCTGTGGGTCGCGACCCCTTTGGCGGTCGATCAACCCATTCACAGGGGTCGCCTAAGACCATCCTGCATATCAGATATTTACATTACGATTCATAACAGTAGCAACATTACAGTTATGAAGTAGCAACGAAAAAAATTTTATGGTTGGGTCACAACATGAGGAACTGTATTTAAAGGGCCAGAAGGTTGAGAACCACTGTTGTAGACCCTTGATTATTGGCCTTTTCCATTTTAACCATTTTTTTGCATATTCCTAAGTAAGATACATATAAAACTACTTGTCTGAATAACAAAAACATTAAACGTTCAATGGAGATTGAAGTCATTACAAAGAAATTTTAATCAAAGAGCATTTTCTCTTGAATGCATAATAATTATTGAAGCGAAGGCCCTAACTGATGTATACCTCACGGATTCTGATTTAGTAAAACCATGATTTCTCCATAAGAATTTTAGAAGAGTCACTGAGATATACATGAAAGAGTCACATGAGTTAAAAGTAAGTTGGGCAGCCCGGCTGGCATGGCTCAGTGGCTGAGTGTTGATCTGTGAACCGAAAGGTTACACTTAGATTCCTGGTCAGGGCACATGTCCGAGTTGTGGGCTCCATCCCCAGTAGGGGGCGTGCAGGAGGCAGCTGATCAATGATTCTCTCTCATCATTGATGTTTCTATCTCTCTCTCCCCTCTCCCTTCCTCTATGAAATCAGTAAGGCAACAGTAGGCTATTCACAGTTAAGTTTTGGAGGGGTCAAATTTATATCTGGATTTGTGAATAGCCTACTGTTGCCTTACTTTTATTTTTTAAAAAGTAAGTTGGGCAAAGGAGGGGGAAATGGGGGACATCTGTAACACTGTCAACAATAACATTTTTTAAAAAGTAAGTTGGGAGTATCCATGTACTCAGGTGAAATACTACCCAATAGTTGGCTACAATATGACTTGAACACTGATAACAGCACTTGAACCCAACAGACCAAAATACCACCAACATAGCGCTCACCATTTGAAATAAAACAGGTTCTTATAAACACTGTAGTTCTATCAGTGTGCTCAGCTACTTGTTCTCAGCTTTTGCCACTTGGCCAGGAGAGAGGAACAATGCTGTGAGATACACTTTAACATAGAGGTATTTGCCTTCTATTCTTTCCAATCTGACTGTAAACTGCCTTCTCCCACTCTGTCACTTCTAATCTTTGTTTCTCAAAGTAAGGACGCAATACCCTCTATCTTTATTTCTTCATCTTCTATTTACTCCTCAAATTCATTCAAATTTGGCTTCCATCCAAATCATTTCACTTAAACTATGTTTGCTGAGATCGATGACCCCCCTCCTTATTAGCAAAGCCAATGGGCACTTTATCAGCTCCTATCTTCCTGATTCTTCTGACGCATTTGACTCTGAGATTCCTCTCATTAAGCCTCTTCCTTCTCCCGGTTTCTATGACGCCTCTGTCGCTAGTTTCGCTCCTTCCCTGATGGCTCCTCCTTTCCTTCACTGTGCCTACCTGTCACTTAAATATTGGTACATCCCGTCCTCCATCTCCCTCTTTTCTTACTCTGCTTATTTGAATGGTTTCTTCTGCTCTCACAGAATTAACATCCACAATCCAGATGCTTCCAAGTTCTACAACTCTGCTCCTGACTGCAGAAAACCCCCACACCAATATATTAAAACTAGAGGCCCGATGCACATAATTCGTGCAAGGGGCTCGGCCCTCACAGCCCCGGCTTCGACCTGGGAAGTCCTCCCAAGGGTCATCCAGCTGTTCAGTCTAATTAGCATATGAGCTCCTTATTATAGAGGATGGGATACCCGCTGGACAGCAATGCCAGATGTCTTGTGAGAACCTCAAACTCATTTTCTCTCAACCTGAATTAGTCTATCAATGTGTTAGTTTTATTTGTAAATTAAATTCATGAAATGAATTATTTATTATAACTCAAGAGGAGCCAAAAAAAATACAAGACACTTAAAATATTTTTTCGGAAAGGGTTAAAAAGGAGCAAATTTTTTATGATGTCTTTTCTTCAGCTACAAAGGTAACTCATTGTCATTAGCAAAAACTACAAAATACAAAAGATAATTTTAAAAGCACATTTCGAAATCCAGCTCTCAAAAGCAAGTAAAATCAACATTTCCGCCTAAAAAGTACATTTTTTAACCACGATAACGTTACATCACAAAATAGTAAATTGGTAAATAGGGGTGTTGTTATTAACTCTCAATATTTTCAAGGCCCCCCCCCCCAACTCTATTAACCGCCCACCTGGAGATAGAATCAGTGTAATATTTTAAATACAAAAGCAATCCTTTCTCATGCTGTATTTTAAATATTCTAAACTTTTTTGACTTGGCATCTATCTTACCTATCTATACCTGACTTCTGTGTGCAATACACCCCACAATCCACCCATAGTGTTAGCAAAGGGGGGAAAAAAGGTGGAAGAAACAGATAACAAATCTAAAACCTAGCTGGGTAGATAACTCGTGTTCTGCAAAAACCATAGGAAAGCGGCATTTTAACACCCCTTCTCGGCTTCAGGAAGGGCCGGGCCGGGGTCTCCCTCCCTCCGGATCCCCACAGCCCACCCAGCTCGCAGGGCGCGCCAGTGCCCTCCCGGCCACGTGATCGCGGCTGTCCGGGACCCCAAGCTACCCCCCCCCCCCAAACCCCGGCCTCCGGGGAGCAAGCGTCGCTGAGGAGACTCGGGAACAGTCACCCGGGGCCCCAAAGAAGGCGACACTGAAAGAAAAAAAAAGTTGGAGACGAAAAAGAAAACGTGCAGAGCAGTCGCGGCGCACTCAGCCCGCGGGACACCGGGCGAGGGGTCTGCCCGCTGGGCCCCGGCCCGGGACGCTCTCACCCCCGCCCCCCAACCCCCCAAACCCGCGAGCCAGACCCCGGAGGCCAGGGCAGCGGCGGCTGGACCCCGCGCCCCGCGCGCCCGGGAAGCGCCCGGACAGCGCACCTGAGCCCCGGCTCCCTCCCCGCGGGGCCCGGCGTCTCCGCGCGAGGCTCTGGGGCGCCCGCTCCACTCCGCGCTCCCGGGGGTCCCGGCGGGTTACCTGCTCCGGCCAGTGGGCGCCCTGCCGTCGCCGCCCCGGGGGAATGTGACTCGGGTCACCTCGCGCAGCGCCAGAGTCCGCCCCGGTTCCCGTGTCCTCCCCGCCGTCCCCTCCGGAGGTGCGCGCCGGGCGGGGTGGGCGGGGCCGGCGGGGCTGCAGGCCAGGGCACCTGAGCACCGCGCCTGCGCCGTCCACTCATTCATTTTATTTATTTTTTCCCCCTTCCCATTCTTGGCCTCTTCAAGCCCCAGCTCTCGGCTACTCCCTTTGGAAAGGTCTGAGATGAAGCCAGGCATTTGAGTTTGGAGTGTTTTGAGGGATCAGAACAGAGATAAAGGGTAGAAGGGGGACTAGAGGGACCGAACTGGCCGGATGAGCCTCTTTGAATAGTGAAGGAAGGAGCAGTCTCTCTTGTCAGAGATGTTTCTGCACCTTTTCTTGGAAGCGGAGAACCTTTGCTTAGTTACTAGACTGAGTGTTTATTCCCAACTATAAAGCCTTGAGCATCGGCCGCATCTCTTCGCTTTTGTGGTTTTGCATCTACCAGTACCTTGCCAGCAGGAGGCACGCTGAAAGGAATACTAACGGTCTCCCCTACCATGGCCCTGTCCCCATCCTATGCTGGAGTCTAGGGCCTGGCGAGGAGCTGACTAGCCCTTGTCCTTTTTGCCTCCTGTGGTGGGGGTCTTAAGCTACCTGTAAGGTTGTTGAGTGAATTCCTAGATTATCTGTTGGCGAAAAGCTCAGCTTTTTGAGAGGATTATAACTTGAAATAAAGGTAATACTTTTCTCCCTGGAGAGCAGTCTTTTCCAAAGTGGGTTCTGTTCATCTCTAGGTCCTAGAGATGCTGGTGGTGGGGTGGGTGGTGGGGTGGGGTGGGTATAGAATCCAAGGTCGGATTGACCTAGGGCCGTGGTCGGCAAACTGAGGCTTGCGAGCCACATGCGGACATGCGGCTCTTTGGCCCCTTGAGTGTGGCTCTTCCTAAGCCTTAGGAGTACCCTAATTAAGTTAATAACAGTGTACCTACCTATATAGTTTAAGTTTAAAAAATTTGGCTCTCAAAAGAAATTCTAATCATTGTACTGTTGATATTTGGCTCTGTTGACTAATGAGTTTGCCGACCACTGACCTAAGGGAAGAAACACAGTATAGTCACTCTCCTTGAAACGGATGAAGCATTTACAGGACTAAAAACTGTGTTTTACTTTGTGTCATCCTGCATTTCCCAAATGTATTTGACCTGAAGGGTGGCAGACTATGCCAACCCAAAACATGCCGCTTGGGCACAAGAATTACTTCGAGTTAAAAAAGCACTTGAAAAACTACAGATGCAAGAAGGGCAGGGTCCTCTTCCTTTTTCTTCCTGAAGGCAAATGAAACTCCAGTGTGAAAGATGCCCTCCATGTACCAGAAGGAGAGAAACATTCTGATGACCAGAGAAGGAAGTCAAGGATGAGGGAAATCTATACAAACCTTGTTAAACTGACCCTTGTCTTCCTCGTCACTTCACAATTAACACATTGCGGACGGACCATGAGAATTCTCGCTTCATATTACACAGTGTTTTACAAAGTATCAGACTTTAAAAAGAAATTAGCTTGTAAGAACATCTAATAAATAACTTCAAAATGCAATGGGTATTAATTTTAAAGCATGCCTTTAACATTTCTGTAAAACATTTTTTTGTGCTCGTTCAATAGAAACTTATTTGGCCACTGGTAAAGCTAGCAAGAAAAATACTGGTCCGCAATGTGTTAACTACCAGAACTCAAGTCCCCTTGTCTTGTCGCATTATCACTACTTACTACTCTTTGTCCACCTTAGTATATAAATGGCCAGCTCTAACTGCTTCTTTGGGCCTTCAATTTCCTATGGCTGCTCCCCTGTACATGTAAAGATCTGTTTGCTTTTCTCTTGTTCATCTGTTTATGTCAATTTAATTCTAATTTCTAGTCAGAAACCCTAAGAGGGTTGAGTTTTACCTTCCCTAGAGACCATACAAATCTCTTCTTGTGAAATGCCAGTTACAATCCCAGGACATTAGTGTTTCAACCAACACACTCCGATCAATTCTGCTTTAACGTCCAAGGACATTCACTTTGAATAAATTTTTACCCTATTACAAATGTTTGCAAGGTTCTGTGCTGTTTACATAAAGCTTTCACATGAGTCATCTCATTTAATCCTCACAGTGATGATGTATTGTAGCTGTAATTATCCTCATTTTACAATTGTAGGTATTGAGGGTCAAACAGTGGTTGCCCAAGTGTAGAGTCGAGGTTGACTCTGGACCTCAGACTTGAAGGCCTTTTAAAGGTGTAGGATGGGCTTTTACTCCCAACGGCACCTGACATCATAGTTCACCCAAAGGTGTCACACAAATGTGCTGAGTGAATGAAGAATGAATGAATGCATGAATGCTTAATGATGCTTACTGAATGGCACTGAGTCCTTGGTGCCTTAACCGGACAACCTTCACAACCTCTTCACTGAGGCAGAAGCTCCAAGAGCAAGAGCTCCCCAATTGTTCTTAGTTTTCTTCCATCTCCCATCTAAAAAGGATTCCTTAGAAGAATCCACTCTGTTGGCAGAAATAGTTCTTTGAAAACATTGAAGCCACTTCCTTTATTTTCCTTGAAATGGGCCTCCTTCCTGTTCCGCCTTCAGAGGCGGAGCTACGTTGGTAGAAATGATTTTGTATATACACCTTTCTTTGTGTCCCGGCGTTTAACCTCTTCCCACAAAGAGACGGTTGTGCAACATTCTGAATAGGTTTTGGGTTTTTGTCTGTTGGATTTTAATGTTAAACATTAATGTGTTAATAGTAATGTCATATTATTTGAGGCAGATCTGAGGCAAAAAAAAAAAAAAAAAAGATTTGGGTTGCTGTGGGTAACGGGGCTGCTTAGATTTTGTTGTGCAAATCGATTCTTTCATTTGGTAGAAACAAATCACTGAATCCCTGTCCGAATCCCTTTTCTTTCTTCCTTCACTCAGTGCAGCTTGTAAATGATTTGTGACTCAGTCCAGCCCTGACACTACCCCCCACCACACATTTTTGAATCAACTGTAGTTCCCTACATTGCCAAATTTGCACTACTGTTCCCCTTAACTCTATTTTATGGGGACCAACTGGCAAATTCATGTTTATTCAGCTGAAGTATCTCCTCTTCTGAAGATGAAACCCTACAACACTCATCCCAGGGCGGATTAAGTGTCCTTCTCAGTGTTCCCGCCACAATCCCTCCGTATCTCAATAATGCCGCCTGTACAATAACGGTGGTGATTGCCTTCTTTCTCCTCTTGCTACTAAACTCATTCCATGAGAGTTACCAATACACAGGAATCAAAATTTCCACCTGTTTCCTGGACACATAGCTTAGCACCTGACACATAGAAACCACTAAAATATTTGTTGAATGAAGGAAAAAGGATATGAATTCCTAGAGTGCTTGTAAAATGGGGATAACTTCACAAATATAAATGGTTACGTGAATACAATGCAGGGAGGGGGGGAGAGACAGAGTCCCCTCAAATGATCCCCTTCCCATTTTCTGTCTTAGGAAAACAGCATCACAAACTTATACATAGGTATTTATTCACTCATTCATTTACTTGTTCAACAAACATTTCTGAGTGTCCATAGTATACCAGGTACAGTCCTAAGCACTTGCTTCAGAGCGAAAGTGACATTTCAGCAGAATCATGAATGCTCACCAAACCTTGATTCCTCTTTCTGGGCACAAAACTAAAGTGCTAGGAGTGAGAAGAGAGGCCCTATAGGCTCTTGAATGTCTTACTAAGAAGTTTATATATTAATCTACAGGACACAGAAATTGAATAAACTAGGGACTATTTGTGGTGGGATGAGTTGTTTTTTCTCTCCCCGCCCCCTTCTTCATCATATTCTTTCCTAAGTGACTAGTACCCACTAAAGCAAAGGTAACAATGGGAAAATAGTTGGTTATAGATACTTCACCAAGGGCCTCTTTTCTCAATACCCTCACCCCACAATACCTTCCCTGCTCCAAACCCCATTAATCAATGACACTTCATAGCACCAAATGGCTGATAGTTTCCTGGAGATCTAAACGGAAAACATCCAGCCCCTAGGACAGGAGACGATAGCACCAGTGGGATCAAAGGAAGATTGTAAAGGAGAAAGAGAGAATCCAGAAAAGAAAGAGAGAAAGAAAGAAAGAAAGAAAGAAAGAAAGAAAGAAAGAAAGAAAGAAGAAAGAAAGAAAGAAAGAAAGGAAGAAAGAAAGGAAGAAAGAAAGAAAAAAGAAAAAAAGAAAGGAGGGAGGGAAGGAAGGAGGGAGGGAAGGAAGGAGGGAGGGAGGGAGGGAGGGAGGGAGGAGGGAGGAAGGAAGGAAGGAAGGAAGGAAGGAAGGAAGGAAGGAAGGAAGGAAGGAAGAAAAAAGAGGGTTTTCTACCAAGTACAAAATCAACTCCTCCAGGCTGGGAAGCGGGTCCAAAGAGGATGAGACATACATGGAGCACGTGGTGTAAAACTGTCTCAGGATTTTAGAACAAAGGCCCCCAGACTCATTGAATAAAGCACAGAAACATCTAAATTCCTGGATTGGAAGAAATGATTCAAATCTGAAATAAACAAGTGCATTTTTCTGGACTCATTTTACAAGAGTTTAATACGAGTCAACTTGCTTAAGCCGGAACTACCCTTCCCAAGATTTCTTTCCCTGTGGGGTTCTATGTTGAATTGACCAAAAAGTGGAATTTGGACAAGACTTGGAAGGTAGGAGTGAAACAGAGCTATTACTCTCTGAAAATCCTCATAATTACACACAGTGGCTTACACACACAGAGACACTGCCAGGTTCTAGCTTGTCCTTGCTCCTTAGCTCTTCCTCCTAATCGCTGGCCCTGCAGAGCACTAGAGCACCAGGCCTACATCCTGAGCTGCCTGAAGACCTACAGAGGTGAGCTAGCCACAGACTTCCCACAGCTCTCCTCCTGGATGCCACTCTAGCAGCTCCAGGTGCCCGGCTTCCTAGATTCATCCCAAAGTTCTGACCCTGTAGATCCATCTACCAGGGCTTGATGGGAGCTGGTTAGTGACT